GAGAACAAAGTTAAAGGTGACGGCAAGGATTTGGAGTCAGATGAATGTAAAAAAGGAAGCTGCTATGTAAACTAAAATGAGGAAGCCACAGAGGGGCAGACTTGGGGGAGATGGAGGGAAGGTGAATGAAATGGGTGGGAAACAAGAGTTTAGTTTGTGTCAGTTTAAGTGCAGTTACATTAAAGGGAGATATGAATTTAGTCTTGAGACCAAATGACCACAGAGAAGGGGCCTGAGGACCGGGGAAACCCAACCTAAAGAAGCTGGGGAGAAGAGGAACCTGCCGAGACTGCTGAGGAAGAGCAGCCGGTGAGATCAGAAGAGAACCAAGGAGGAGGGGTGTCCTAGAAGTCTACAAAAGAAAGCGTTCAAAAGAAAAGGCGAAGCACTGCTGACAGGTTAGTAGGTGAGGCCTGACACTGACCACTGGATGTAGCAACATGGGAGTCACAGATGACCTGACCTTGACAAGAGTTGTTTTGGTGAAGTGGTGGAATAGAAGGTCTCACTGGAATAGGATTAAGAAAAAAAGGACAGCCAAAACCGGTTTGGCTCAGTGGATAGAGCGTCAGCCTGCGGACTGAAGGGTCCCAGGTTCAATTCCGGTCAAGGGCATGTACCTGGGTTGCGGGCACATCCCCAATAGGAGATGTGCAGGAGGCAGCTGATCGATGTTTCTCTCTCATCGATGTTTCTAACTCTCTCCCTTCCTCTCTGTAAAAAATCAATAAAATATATTAAAAAAAAAAAAAAAAGAAAGAAAGGACAGTTGACCTTTGAACAATGCAGGGGTTAGGGGCACAAATTCCCTGCACTGTCAAAAGTCTGTGTATAACTTCTGACTCCCCAGAAACTTTACTAATAGCTGCTGCTGACTGGAAGTATTACCGATAATATGAACAGTCAATTAACACATATTTTGTATGCTATATGTATTACATACTATATTCTTATAATAAAGCTACAGAAAATGTTAAGAAAATCATGAAAAATTACATTTACAGTATTTATTGAAAAAAATCCACATATAAGTAAGTGTACCTGTGCAGTTCAAACCTATGTTGTTTAAGGGTCAGCTGCAGACATAGTGGTGTAGGCAAAGCTTTCTGGTTTTGTTGTAAACATTTTACAAGGAAGAGAAATGGGAAGGAATTTGGTGGATATAGAGTTGAGAGAGTTTGTTTGTTCTGTATTATTCTTAAGGTGGAAAAAATAACAGCATGTTGGTACATTCATGGGAATGATACAACAGGGAGGGAAGGCTGATGATGTGAGGGGAAAGGGGATAATTGCTAGAGTGAGGTCCCTGAGCGTGTGAGAGGATGGAATCCAATGCACAAATGGGGGGGGGGGGGGGCTTGGGGAGGGGCAGCCTCATAGAGTTCATCCACGGGAACAAGGGCCTAAATCTCCGGGCTAAATGCAGGCAGAGTGGTTGTGCTGGAGGGAGTGTATGAAGCTCTCTTCCACGTGCTTCTTTTTTCTCAGTGACATACAAAGTGAGGATACTGACTGACGAGGAATAGGTTGAAGGTGCTGGAAACAGGAAGTCTGAAGGGGGAGTGGCATGAAAAAGGTTTCTAGGAGACTACATGGATCAGGCAGAGCTGAGAGGACCTGGATAAGTGAGTTGACAGATTATTTTAGTGTCAAATTAGGGGCTCTTCGAAGGTAACTGTCAATTTCAAATGTCACTTAGCCCCTATCTAACGTAATAACTTACTGTAACTCACACAAGTGTGTGAATAATCTCTTTCTTTTTGGCCTTTGGTGTTTATCAACACACTAGTTATTCACCACTTGGTATAATGTACTAGTTAAGAATAGAAAGATATGCAAAACCCACATGGAATCTATTTTTTTAAAAGCTGTTATCTCCAATTATTTTAAGCAAGCAGATAAAAATTTACTAAACATTAAGAAAAATTACTGTTTTATTTTAAAATGATATATACTTAATCTTTGCCTGGTTCAAATGGCATTGTTACATTTTAATAATTACATGGCATTCTTCTTACCTGTGTATCTGCAGATAAAGCTGGTGCAATGTACAACAAGAATCAGAGAGGAAAGGAAGAAATTCCTAAAATAAAACAACTATATTCATTCTTTATATATAATGTACCTTTCTAATACACATCTCTCACAAGGACATGCAAAAAATAAAATAATATCCTGCACAGACAATAGTGTGGTGAAGGCCTGGGGTGGGGTGAGGAGGGGAGGGCAGGGCAGGATGGAGGGGTTAATGTGGGGGGAGGAGAACATCTGTAATCCTTTCAACAATAAAGATAAATTTTTAAAAAATAAAAGAAATTTGCCAAATAAACAATAATGATAATATCTTGGATGTGCCACATTAAAATAAATTCTTGCATGAGAATATATAGGAGGATTAGGCTAAGCATCTAAAATTCTTTACTGTACCCTAGCTGGTTTGGCTCAGTGGATAGAACGTCAGCCTGCGGACTGAAGGGTCCTGGGTTCAATTCTGATCAAGGGCACATGTCCGGGTTGCAGGCTCAATCCATAGGAGGGGGCGTGCAGGAGGCAGCCGAGATCAATGATTCTCATCATTGATGTTTCTATCTCTCCCTCTCTCTCTCTCTGAAATCAATAAAAATATATTTTAAAAAATAAAAATTCTTTACTGCTAAGACTATCAGCAAAATGACAATTAGCAGCTATCACACACTGAGCAGTAAGTGCTCAGCAGCCATGTTGCAAGGACTTTATGAACATCAGTTTACTTAATATCAGTGCCTCAAAAATCCCAAGGCGTGTCATTGTCCCCAGAACACAAAGCTGAAGCTAAGGTATCCAGTAATGTGATCAAGAACTCCGTTAAAAACCAGCAAGGCTGGGCTTGAGGTACAGTTGTGACTGCTCCACCCATTATGGTAGGCTATCTCTTAGAAAGTTAAGGAATTATTTCTTATTGTTATAGAACATAGAAAAACAGCTGATGCTTAAATTTTAAAAATTAAAAAAAAATCCCCTGGTAGAAAAGGATTAAAAAATGGCATAACTAGGACTTCTAGTCAAGATGGTGGAGTAGGTAAATGCTGTGCTTGTCTCCTCCCACAACCACATCAAAATTGCAACTAAAGTAGAAATAATCATCATTGAGAACCACCTAGAGACTCGCTAAACCAGTCTCCTACAAGTAAGGATATAAAGAAGCCATGAGGAAAAAAAAAAAAGCCATGAGAAGATTGGTAGGAGGAGCAGAGGCGCATCAGGCAGGTCCCACACCCCCTAACAGGAGAGAACCTGAATAGACATTTCAAATCCCAAGAGTACAGATGACCAACAGACATATGAAAAAATAACATCACTAATCATCAGGGAAATGCAAATTAAAATGGCTATCATCAATAAATCAACAAACAAGTGTTGGCAAGAACATGTAGAAAAGGGAAACCTTGTGCACTGTTAGAATTATAAACTGATGAAGCTACTATGGAAAACAGTATGGCGGTCCCACAAAAAATTACAAATAGAACTACCAGTTGACCCAGCAATTCTACAGCTGGATATTTATCCAAAGAAACCCAATACATGAATTCAAAAAGACATAGCACCCATGTTCATTGAAGCACTATTTACAATAGCCAAAATATGGAAGCAGTCTAAGTATCCATCAATATACGAATGCATAAAAAACTATGATGCATATATACAACGGACTATTACTCAGCCACAAAAATAAATGAGATCTTGCCATTTGTGACAACATGGATAACTGAGGGTATTATGCTAAGTAAAATGAGTCAGAAAAAGACAAATACCATATGCATTCACTTATATATGGAATAAAAATAAAATAAAAGAACATACAAAATAGAAAGAAACTCATAGATACCAAGAACATTTTGATGATTGTCAGATGGGAGCGAAGTTGGCGACTGGCACGTATAAAAGTTGTCTTGGGGATACAAAGTATAGCATACTAGCAAAGTATAACTAGTATGGCAGCAGATGGGGGCTAGACTTACCAGGGTGATCACTTCATAAGTTACATAAATGTCTGATCACTATGTTTTATCTCTAATCTCTGTTTTTTTTAATCACTAATATCTACTACTAATGATATTTCTTTAACTGGCTGCCATAAGCACTCCCTGCTCATCTCTCCAAATAAATAATCTCCTTGGATGACTACTCTATTCTATCCACGTATCTTCAACTATCACTGCTCTCCTGATGACTCCCAAATATGTAGGTCTTCTTAAAATTATTATACAGTTTCAAAGATATGAACATTTAAACTCTAAAAACCTAATTTAGAAATATGATAGAAATAATATATAAACCATATTTGAAGACAGATTTTCTGAAAATTTATTTGAGATTACAGAAATAATTTTATTCATGTTTATATTAAATAATTATTCAGATAATTGAAGAACAATGATGGTAGCCACTTAAATAATTCCACAGATGCTCAATATTTTACAATTAACAATACTAAACAAACAAAAACCCAAAAAATATACTCTTGACAAAACAAACTTCAAAAGATTGCTCTTGACAGGAATGATAAAAATATGCTACCTTATAATTTATTTAAAAAAATAAGCCCTACCTTAGTGTAGTGTAGAAGAGAGTTGGCAAGGAAACGACACAATTTGAGTATTTTCTGAAATAACCTGTTGTCAGCAGTATCCTGTTTCAAAAAAGAAAATAAGAAAGCATATAAATAAGAATATGGAATTAGCTTAACTTGTAAATGAGACCATTTTTTCTGAAAAGTCTATGCTAAAAAGTCTAATACAATATTCTCATTTTGAAAATGAATCAAGACTTAATAGAGAATGAGTATCTTGTCAATTTTAGCAGCTATTATGGAATGAACAACGTCCCCCAAAATGATATGCTGAAGTCCTAACAGAGAATATAATTTTATTTGGAAATACGGTCATTGCAGATGTAATTAGTTAAGATGAGGTGATACAGGAATAGGATGTGCCCTTAATCCAGCTGAATGGGTCCTCTATAAAGATACGAAGACACCACCATGTGGAGGCAGAGATCAGTGTTACACGGAACGCCAGCCACACCAGAAGCTAAGTGACAGGCACAGAGCCCACTCTACCCGTGCCTTTGAGAGAACAAGGCCCTGCTGACACATTTCAGACTTCTATCCTCTAGAACTGAGAGAGAATAAAAGTTGTTTTTATTTAAGCCACCTAGTTTGTGGTAATTTGCTACTGCAGCCTAGGAAACAAATACAGGGACTGATACATCAATAATCCCTCCATTAATAGCACACAACAAATTAACTCTAATGTTTTTAGCTAGACATTTTTTAAAACACCACCTGGAAAACTTTAATAGTTTGATTCTTGAATAAATATCAATAGTGAACACGAGAGGGTGCTGCTGATCAGAATTTAGAGTAAAGAACACAGAAACTCTACAGACCATGGCAAAGCTCCATTTCAGCCAATGGATAGTGTAGGGATAGTCAATATCAACCCCAAATGTTCACAAATAAGGAAAAACATGAGAATATGTGTGGACATTAGGAGAATTTACAATTTAAATTCCCTGATTTTCTCCTGCAGACAGTTGATATGAGCTGAACTTGTATAATTTAGTACAAACAGCCACCTGGCCAGGCACCCTCTGTTCTTCTCTTTTCTCTTCCACTATAGACTATCCTGTTGCATGGACTTTCCATGTTTCACTCCTGTCCAGGAGCCTCCGTCTAACCTTACTCTCCAAGCACTAGCTGTGGGTGCTGTGGTGTCAGGATAAGCAAAAGAAACTGGGTAAAGAGGAGGTTGGGGCTGAGGATACAGATGTATGTGATAGAGGTGGCAGAGTGAACCTTCATACCATGACACAGGACGCCCAACCAAATGCCTATCCATTCAATAAGGTCAGGGGAAACCAGAAAGTGTACACGAATGAAGTGAGGGTGGAATAAATAAAAGGGAAAAGAAAGAAGAGATGTAAGGGCGGGGGGGAGGGAGAGGAGAGATAAGAGAAAAAAAAAGAGCCCTAGCCAGTTTGGCTCAGTGGATAGAGTATCAGCCTGCAGACTGAAGGGTCCCGGATTCAATTCCAGCCAAGGGTACATGTCCGGGTTGCAGGCTTGGTCCCCAGTTGGGGACGTGCAGGAGACAGCCAATCAGTGATTCTCTCTCATCATTGATGTTTCAATCTCTCTCTCTCCCTCTCCCTTCCTCTCTGAAATCAATTTTAAAAAATATTTAAATGTAAAAAAATAAAAAGAGGAAAAGAAGAGATGAGGGAAAAGGTCAGTCCCTTCCTAAGCTACCTCTCACCTCCTTAGCAACTCCAGAACTCCTTTCCACACTTCCATCCTCTGCTAGCATCTGTCTTCCCAGATCATCCCTGCCCCAGCAGTTGCTACCAGTATTTAGGGACTAGATGAATCCTTATACCTCCTTCCCCATAGGTACTTGGCAGGGAAGAGAATAGGTACAAAGAATCCCCTATGACAGCTTGTAGTGCTACAGCTAGAGGAGCATGTTCCTGTTACTCTAGGAAGAAATATTTAATTCATTTTTCCATTGAAATATGTAACTGTTAGGCCCTAAGTACTATTAATCCTTTAATTTAGGGTTTTATGGGTTAAATAAAATTTAAAGGGCTAATCTGAGAATAAAAGGCACTAGGTATAACATTGTCATAGGAAAAGGAACTACAATTACCAGTAAGCTTAGGGTGAGCAAATTTTTAGAATATAATGGTTCATAAATGGGATACCAATTCAACACTACAACTTTTGAAATAAAAATTCAAGCGTCTATCAATTTTAAAACACACACACACACACACACACACACACACACACACACACACGAGTTGTATATTGCCTTACTGCAGGCTGCATGGGATTGGTGAAGAAAAGGCTAGGTGTGGCTCTATCAAGGCAATCTTAAATAAATATAGGACTAAAGAATTAGACTTTTGTTTTAGGGTACAAAAGAATGAAAGAATGGTGAGGAGAATGACCAACCAATAAGTAAGTAAAGTAGAGAAGAATGAGAGCAGACAGGAGCCTAATGCAATGTTCTGGGTGAAAAGTGATTATGAGCTATAATTTCATCTAATAAACTGAAAAATAAACAAACACAAATGAAACAAATTAAAACCCTCAGAAGTAAAGTGATCCATAGATTCAAACTCGATTCAGTAACTGCCAAAGGAAGTAAGAGCCACCATCTAAGTGCTGTGGGAGCATACATACCTGTGCCCTGGACTGGGCCATCTGCTCTGCTAACTGTAAACAAGACTGGAAGGAGCACAGAATGTCTTCACACAAGCTGGTGATGATTTCTTTGTGTCTCAGCTGACTCTTTATAACGGACTGGTGCTTAAGGCTCTGCCTAAATGAGTAAAAAGAGCAGTCACCATGAGTAACTTAGGACCATGAAAATATGATGAAGGAATATGTAAAAAATCAATGCACACATGAGACATGACATAATTAAGATGTGCCAACTTTATCTATTAAGCAGTTATGTCAATTTAAGTTACTACGTATTTCTTTTATTTCTCCATGTAAAATATTAATTGAAGTCTTACTCTGTCCAGTCACTCTGCTGGGCTCTGGGGATACAAAGGTGAATAAAGACACAACCTCTGCCCTGTCTGCACAGAGCGTGTGAGCCAGCCCGAGGGAGACCATTAATAATTAACTATGGCTGTGATCACAGTGAAGAAGGAAAAGGCCAGTGTGCTACTACAGAGAGGTCTATTCTAACTTCTTAGGGTGAGCAAATCAAAGAATGCTACCATGAAGACATAGTACCTAAGCTGAGAAATGAAAAATAAGCAGGGGTTAGCAAGGTGTAGAGAATAAGGAGGAGCATCCCAGCAGAGGAAGAAGCCATGACAAGGTTCCAGGACAGGAGAGTCTAGTACGTTTGAGGAACTAAGAGCAGAGAGAGAGAGCAGCGGAGACGGGCTGGTGAAGAAGGCAGAGCCCAGAGAGGATTAGGTAGTTACTCTTAGTAAAATGGGGAGTGTTCTGATTACATTTGTAAGAGATCAGTCTGAATTCTGGGTAGAAAGTGAATTGGAAGGGGTTAAGAGTGGAAGTTATTTGATAATGGTGGTGATGATGATACAGCTAATTCATTGAGCACTATGTGCCGTGCACCCATTCTAACCATTTCACCCTTATAAACTCAACTCCGTTACACCCACCAAAAAAGTGCCACTGTTACTACTCCTATTGTCAGATAAGCAAACTAAGGTTCAGGGAAGTTAACCAAATTGCCCAAATGTCCAGGAGGAGTAAGTTATTTCATAATAGACTCAAGCAAAATACAGCATGGCTCTGAGCTGACACTTCTGACCTCTGCTGTTACTTGGTAAATTAATGACCTGGTGGCACAAAAGCACCTACGACCTGAAAGTACTACAATGTCCTTTAATACCAAGTATTACGCATGTGTGTAAAGTAGAGGCTCTTAACCATTTTTACATCTCAACTGTATCTCATCCGGCACCTAAGAAACTGATGAACACTGTGGGCGCTCTCCCTATAACCTTTGTAATGCTCTACTTAAAAATCACTTTATAAATGGAATTCAAGTTGAACAACTCAAAAGCCTATAATGAAGGGATTATATATTCAGCTCTAATTATAATTACTAATTTATCTCAGCCTGAAAATAGGATACTTAATAGTCTATTAAACAATAGTAACAGCAGGCAAGTGGTTAAGGTTTAGTCTGACCATGGTCCATTATTTCAGAATTACTAGCTAACTGGGAAGAATTTTTTTTTTTAATTGTAGAGGCAGCAGGGTAAAGTCCAATTTGTTTTGGGAGCTATATGTAGGATTATCTGGATTACCAGACAGCAGGGTCAGTGAACATTATATACACCTACAGGAACTCCTTTAAATGCAATCTGATATGAATAATAAGATTTAAGATAAGGAAAATTACAAAAAATAAAAACAAAATAACTTACTTAATTATAAATTTCCAAGTATTTGCATGAAATGCATGGTCCATACTGGAAATAACAGAGCAGATGTCCAACAATGAATGAATAACTACAAAGAAAAATAACAGAACTCTTAAAACATTCAAATGTCATGAGTATCGTCTACATTTAAAATTATCTATTGAACAATTTGACATTTGTTAAAATAGGTAATGCAGTTTGCAAAAATTGTGTCAAAATAATTACTGAAAACAAGAGGCCCGGTGCACGGAATTCGTGCGCGGGTACGGTCCCTAGGCCTAGCCTGCGATCAGGGCCATCTTCCCTGGCTGCGGGAAGCCGGCCTCACCCCCCCGCCACCACCAACCCCCAGTTCCCGTTCGCCATCGGGCCATTGGAGCCTGCCGGCTGGGGGAGACATCAGCCCGTTTCCGCCAGACATCAGCCGTTTCCGCCTGCTGCAGGGTCGCCCCTCTGTGAGGTCGCCCTCTGTGTGTAGGGCAACCGGTGGGGCAGGGGCCTTGGCTTAGCGCCACCCACCCCCAGTTCCCCATTCGCCATTGGGCGATGGGAGCCTGCCGACCAGGGAAAGGGACCGAGAGGTGGTCAGTGTGCCTCATAGTAACTGATCGAGTGGTTGTTCTGGTTGTTATGCTGTTAGGGTCAATTTGCATATTACCCTTTTATTATATAGGATAAGTGTCACATTTTTAAGGTTGTTAGAAATTAGGGAAAATTAACTTTTGAAGTTTATACCTACCCATGACCTAAACAAAACTAAAATGTTTAATGGAATAAAGTTGTACCCTGTTATAACTGAAATATTCTATATGTATATTTCTATTCTAAAATGACAAAATGAACCTAAGGAAAGAAAACCTAACAAGAAAGAATTAGAACTAATTTGCACAGTTCTCATATAAGGCCCCTACTCTGTCTGTGGCAGATTATTTATAAAAATGGCCACAATAACTTTCCTTTGTGTGTCCACACTCTTGGGCAATCCCCTTCCACACAGACTCTGGGCTTACAGACCTCTTTGGCCAACAGACCAATAAGTGTAAGACAAGTAGACTTGAAAAGTTCTTATGTACTGGAGGTTGCCCTCTTTTGCTGCTCTTGGAAACCCTCAGACCACATCAGCTCAGAGCCCAGCTAGCCTGCTGGATGATACGCTACACATGGCTGGCTCAGAACTTCTGCCTTTTCCAATAGCCAGATGTGAGTGAGGTCACTGACCACACACACAAATGAGCCACTCCTGCCAAGTGGAACAGAGAAAGCTATCTCAGCTGAGCCCAGCCTAAACTGCTGACTCACAGAATCATGAATAAATAAAACAGTGGTTTTTTATTTTAATCCAATGATTTTGGAGTGGTTTGTTATGGAATAAAAATTACCTAATATGCTGCACAAAACCAATTTAGTATCTTCAGACTGAACTGATGAATACAATATTTGCCTTTACTCATTAGGGTATTGCTTTCCAAACTCTGGGTCATAACTTATTAGTGAGTGAAGTCAATCCTTTAAAAATTAAACAAAATATAACAAAACATATGACATGTAATAAGGATTTTATTTCATGTATAATAAATGTGATGCACATATACACACTAACAAACATACCCATATATATAATTATATGTGCTCTGAAAAGGAATGCAAACTACATTTCATACTATGAGCTATAGTTTAAAAACTCTTTAAAGCCACTGTCTTTGAATCTGAACTACTTCAGAGGGTATAAAGTTGCATACCTTTTTTTTTTGTTAATCACTGTGGGGAAATTACCTATGAACATTAACTGAATATATAAATCTAATGTTAAGGCATCAAATCTCAGTTTTAAATTCTAAAATTTAAAAGATTAAAAATTTATCTGGTAGGATTTTTTTCATGTAAGATATCATGAATCATTAAAACAATGGTAGGTTCAATAATTTAACTGACATACAGTGTCCAGTCGGTTCACATCATATATTGGGTAATAAGTTTCTTCACTCACCAAGTACCATATTCAAAATGTCATCGTTCTCATCAACTCCAGGGTCCATGCAGACCATATCCAGCAGTTCCATTAGCTGCTTCTGAAGAGAATAGGCCTCCTTGAAAAGAGCCTGGAGAAGGTCTGAAACGAGGTGTAAGCGCCCAGAATAGACAGATTCACTATTCTGCTCAAATAAATAAAAATGAGAGAAGAGGAAAATTAGAAAAAGCTCAAAAGCCAAATTTACTTTCACTCATACTAGCAGAGGTCATCATTAATGCTTTTCACTGAATCACATATTCACTCATTAAACAAATGTTTAGTGAACATCCATTAAATACAGTGTACTTCATGCAAGAGATGCAAGCATGTATCAAATGATATGACTTCCAAGACCCTGCAAATACAGAACTAAAAGGGAGATAAATAACAGTAGGTCAAGTGCATGACAATGTAGAACCCTATCACCAAAGAGAAGCTTTAATTAACTAACACTTTTCATTCACCCAACAAATAGCAGTATCAAAACTTCCTGGGATGCACAAATCACAGGCCAGCTTTTATACTTAAAAGCTGCCTCGGGAATACCGAGATGAACTAACAAGGGTTAATGTCCTTTCACGACACCTCATCATTAAGGAATTCATCCCCAACGCCATAACAGAACTGGCCTGCACTCCAATCCAGGAACCCTTGGGAGATGCCCGACTGCTGGTATAGGGCCTAAACCGGCAGTCATCCCTCTCACAATCCAGGACCGCTGGCTCTTAACTGCTTACCTGCCTGCCTGCCTGATCACCCCTAACCACCTCTGCTTGCCAACCTGATGCCCCTAACTGCTCCCCTGCTGGCCTGATCGTCCCTAACCACCTCTGCCTGCCAGCATTATCACCCCTAACTGCCCTCCCCCGCCAGCCTGATCACCCCTAACTGCCCTCCCCTGCCAGCCTGATTGCCCCCTAACTGCTCCCCCCTGCTGGCCTGATCGCCCCTAACCGCCTCTACCTCTGCCACCGTGGCTTTGTCCAGAAGGACGTCCGGAAGATGTCTGGAAGATGTCCGGTCTAATTTGCATATTACCCTTTTATTAGTATAGATACTATTGTACTCAGCCCTTTTTTTTTTTTAGTCTAAAGTTTTACATATTTCTCCTTTTTCCTCAATTGACCCCCCCACTCCAGCCATTCCCACCCCAGGCAAGCCCCCACCGCCCCAGTATCTGTGTTCATTGTTTATGCTAATATGCATGCATACAAGTTCTTTGGTTGCTCTTTAACCCCCCCTCCCCTTCCATTTGTCTCTAGATCGATCTATTCTTGTTCATCAAATTATGTTGATTATTATATCCCACATATGAGTGAGATCATGTGATATTTATCTTTCTCCAACTGGCTTATTTCGCTTAGCATAATGCTCTCCAGTTCCATCCATGTTGTTGCAAATAGTAAAAGTTCCTTCTTTTTTAGAGCGACATAGTATTCCATTGTGTTGCTATGAACATAGAGGTGCATATATCCTTTCTGATTGGTGTTTCCGGTTTCTTGTACTCAGCCCTTTTGCCCATGGATTCTAGGCCACTGAAAGTGTACCTGGGCCCATTTACTCACCTTACAATGTACAAAGGTACTTCTGATTACATGTAGGACTGAGGAGGGGAGACTCTGAATATTTTCTAGAATGATGGACTCCTGTGTGGCACAGACATGCTGAACACATCCTGTAAGAGCTCCTAAAACCTGCACCATTGTCTGGGAATAAGGAAAGACATTTAATTCAGAATATATTTTTTGTGTATCTAAGAACTATCAGACTGAGTGCTAGGGTAGAGCAGTGAACAAAATGGACACTCTGTACCTCCATTCATAGAACTTCAGTCTATCAGAATTACAAATACTGGAGCATTTAGCTAACCACTGGTTAAAAAAAAAAGTTGGAATCCTAACCCATATGCTTTGAAATTACAGGTAAGGCATGCTATCTCAAGTATTTGTCTTTCTTTAAGAGTTTAGATGTTTATTCAGCACGAAAATTTTCAGAATTTATGTTTCTGTATTCATATCTTTAATTCTATAGACATAATTCCAGTACTGGGCCATCACATAAAGAATACAAGGCTAACTCATATCAGTATAAAAATCTCACACTCTTTGAGCTCCCTGTCTCCCCTTTTCTAATAAATTTGACGTACCTGTAAAATATTCCTTAGCGTGGTCTGGATTTCTAAGTTTTGGCTTGTTAGCTCTCTGGCTTGACTGGTTAACTCATACATCATATCATCAAATAATTTCACAGTCTGTAAAAACAAAGCATGTTATTACTATAAACAGAAATCACTAGAAAAGGAAAGCTATCTTTTAAAAAATGAGATTTATTTTTGCATCAGTAACACCCTTGGGATATTCTCTAGCTTAACAATTGCACCTAATTAAGTTTAGAATATATATGTTATATATACAGGGAGGGGCAAAAGTAGGTTTACAATTGCATGTGAAACAGCATTTATTCTTGTATTATTTATTATTGTATTGTTTTCCATATGGACAACTGTAAAACTACTTTCGCCCCACCCTGTATAATACATATAGTAATTTTACAGTACAGTTGCTTAAAAAAAGAAAGACTTCAGACAGAAATTGACGTATTTTCCATTTCTGTGGTTTGAATCTAATAACAATTAAAAAATAATTCATAGTTCATTTTTTGGTGACGTCACAAACATAAGTGCTACTCTTTTCATAATAAAAGATGATGGTCTTAACCAATCAACATTCATATGGGTATTTATAAGGATAATCCCTGATAGAGTAATGAATTTGTGCTGAATCTCCTATTCACTTGTATTCTAACCAGTTTCCCTTTTCAACCAACTCAAAATACAGTTCCTGGGTTAGAGGCATAGTATGTGACCTCAGAACTAAGTATTTTGTCTGTGAAAAGTTAGCCACCTTAAGATCTTAATACTAAGATCTTTCTAAACTATTTAAATGACCTACCATTGCAGGAATAAGCACACTGGCAACAAGACCAGGTAATTAAAGAGGATAGTTTCCCACTGCTTCCCACAGGCCTATTGATGCTCATCCTGTTTTCACATACACAGCAGCTGACCTTTCCTGCTGGTCAAGAACAAATCCTAACAGCAGCTGACCTTTCCTGCTGGTCAAGAACAAATCCTAAGAAGCTTTTCAGATACAGAATAACCAAGTGAATATGAGTAAAAGGAATTCTGATGGTTATCTGCCTCAAAGCTAAACTTAGAAGAACTCCATTCCAATAAGAGAATAAGTTATCGTAAATATATTTCATTTTGGTGCCAAAGTACCTTTAATTCTCTCAATCAAAAAACAAAACAAAACATGGCTTTTCAGAGAAAAAGTATATCAAACATCTAAAAAGTAATAATATAGTCTGTAAATACAATGTTTTCTCTTAGTTATTTGATTTTACCAGTATTCCAGCCTTTTTTATCCTAAGACTTCTTTAATAAACCTTGGGTCCATTTCTTCAGACAGTGCTATTTAGTAATTACTAATACTAGTAAACCCTACAGAGAAGACACAACAAAGGAACTCACTACCTTTATCATCCATCCCAAATTTTCATTTAATAGCATTAAAATACAAGAGCATTTAAAACTAACTACAAATAATTTAAATTCAGTTAGTAAAGGATCCATATTACCTGAAAATAGTTTTTAATTGCCTACTCTAACACAGGGCGGGGAAGCTTTTTTCTGCCAAGGGCCATTTGGATATTTATAACATCATTCTCGGGCCATACAACATTATCAACTTAAAAATTAGCCTGCTATATTTGGCCAAAACATTTAATTAACTCACCCCTAATGCCCTGACAGGGCCAAACCAAATGATTTTGAAGGCCTTATGCGGCCTCAAGCCAGGCATTCCCCACCACCATATTCTCACATGAGATCTATTTTTTCCACTTTATCTGTATGACAAATATGTTTGATATATTTTTTTTTAGCCACAATTAAGAATGCTCTAAAACAGAGGTTAGATTTTAACAGGCTTTGTTTTGTATCCTGAGTATTGATTAATAGTACTGTACCTTTGGCAGCACTTGAGAAAAGAAAGTCTGTTCCAATGTCAGGTGGTTCATATGAGGTAAAAACACTTGTACAATGGTTTTCAGTATTTCTATAAAGCAAAATAGTAACACATTTTGTAGGAATAGTAATCATGTCAGCCAACAAAGATCACTGCTCTTTCCAAATGGGGAAATATGTAAGCACAACCAACAGAAAGCGCTGTACAGTTTCAAATGCCATAATCTGTGTAGAAAAAATATTAAGTGAAATAATAACAAAAAAAGGGAAAATATGTCCAGCAATTGACCACTTAATGGATGTGGATACCTTTACTGAACAGGATCTGTAAATGATTCTTCAGAGGTTATTTAAAAACCATAAAAAATGTTTATAGAACTGGCCCGGTCAGTGTGGCTCAGTGCTTGAGGAGGTCACAGTTCAATTCCCGGACCAGGAGCATGCCTGGGCTGTGGTCTCATGCAGGAGGCAGCCAATCAATGATTCTCTTTCATCATTGATGTTTCTATCTCTCTCTTTCCCTTCCTCTCTGAAATCAATAAAAATATACTTTTAAATGTTTACAGTGCTTTAAAATTAAGCATAAAGGTCTCAAAATAGTATCCCAATTTTATTATATGTAAACATGTACATACAAAGAATAATAGGTAATCTGGCAGGAATGTACAGAAATGGGATGAGAATATTCTCTATTAAAATCTTAACCATTTCAGATCCATAGGCGTCTTCTGTTTTTTTTTCTGTATGTTTCATATTTTCTACAATGAATATGTGTGACTCATACTCAGTATAAAAAATAATTCTGTTCCTAACATAGATTCAAAATTATAAACAAATATTCCACAACCATTCTAACTCAAAATAAATGTAAACTACTGTCTAGTCTTTACTCTTCCCAACCTCTCCTGGCTAAATAAGCAAATCACATCAAATAAGGGTAATGAAAACAGATAAAGATGAGAAAGACAACTTTTTCCAAATGACAAATGTGTCATCACCTAAATAATCAGCTTTCTGTAACCTAGAAACTATTTTCTAAAGCTACTTCACATGTTAGAGACTGAAAGCAATAGACTGCAAGTTTGTTTCATAAAGGTTAACCACGGTTTAACAACTAACATTTAAAGTTTACATTGTGCTTACACACACATTATTAAACAGAATACGTTTGCTATCTATCAAAAATGGAATTTAAAACTGTTAAGTACTGTAATTAGAAGAAATTTGGGCATTTTAAGTAATTTAAAGTTACAGAGACTGTAACAGGACAATAGGAAAAGATTCAATTTGAAGGGAATACAATGCTGTATTGATAAGTATGATTCACATCTTAACATCAAAATAAATCATACAGTAAGATAGTTTGACTTACGAATATGCTCAATCCAACTGTCAGAATGTTGATACATGGAGTAAAATAATTAAGGAAAATCATACTATTAGGATGTTCACTACTGAAAACAAATTTAAAAGGACCATTCTTGAAGTTTAAGCAATAATAGGAGATTGAAACTAGACTCAAATTACTGGCATAATTTTGCTTTTAAAAAGTTAAAACTTGCCCTGGCCGGTTTGGCTCAGTGGATAGAGCGTCGGCCTGTGGACTGAAGGGTGCCAGGTTTGATTCTGGTCAAGGGCACGTACCTCGATTGCAGGCTCCCAGCCCTGGTCAGGGGATATGTGGGAGGGAACCAATCAATGTGTCTCTCTCACATGGGTGCTTGTCTCAGTCTCTCCCTCTCCCTTCCACTCTCTCTAAAAATCAATGGGGAAAAAAATATCCTGGGGTGATGATAAAAAATAAATAAATAAAAAGTTGAAGCTTTTAGATTAAAAAAACAATTGCTCCAGGGATATTCTTGCCTTTTCAAGCTATTAGATAAAATATCTTTGACAGCTGACAAAAATGCCACAATAAGCCATGGATTTCTGGTTTCTCAGGCAGGAAAGCAATTTCTCCCTCCTCAGCATTTCTATAGTACTTTATCTGTAGCTGTCTTAAGTCACTCACCACTTTCTATCTTCTTTTCATATTATTTTCATACCTTTCTTACCAACCTTACCAGACTGAAACTCTTCTGCACATAACAGAAGCCTACAAAATGTGTGACAGTACATTATCCTAACAGTAATCAAATTATAAAACATACACTTATAGCCCGGCCAGTATGGCTCGTTGGATTGGGCATCATCCTGTGCACCAAGAGCTCACTGGTTCAATTCCTGGTCAGGGCACATGACCGGGTTGCAGGCTCGATCCCCACTGGGGGATGTGCAGAAGGCAGCCGATCAATGATTCTCTCTCATCATTGATGTTTCTATCATCCTCTCCCTTCCTCTCTGAAAGCAATAAACATTTTTTTAAATAAAACAAGATGATTTTCATTAATGATAAAGTACTCTTTAGAAAACAGGACAAAGTAATAAAAGTGTTGCAGATTGGGTTTGTGGGAACTACCTAAAGTTGAGGGCTCTGAAAAGGGCCAAATGAGGTGAAATTTGAGCCAAGACCCGAATGATGAGCTGCACAAAAGGCTGGAGAACAAGGGAGGCTGAGGGAGCAGCAAGCATGAAGACCTCGAGGTGGGGAATTCATGCCTTCGTGGACAGAATGTAGTGAGCTAAGCAGGAGGAAAAGGCAAGGCTTATATTACATGGGGCCTTACAGTAAGTTTGTGTGTGTGTGGGGGGGGGGGGTGTTTAAAAAGAAAATGGCAGGTCTTTCACCCAGAACTATTTTTGGAGAATGGATTATAAGAGGACATAAGGAAACTATTAACAACAGTCCAGGTGAGAGGTGATGGATGCTTAGAATAAAGTGATAGCAACTGGGGATGGAGTTAAGTGGATGCATTCAAGCTACAGCTTGAAGTCAGAGACAAAAGAACTTGCTGATTAGATGTGAGGATTCAAGGTTTGTGAAACCATTTACAGTTAAGTCCTCACTTAATTTATCAATAGATTCTGTGATTTAAAGAAACACAAAACCACTTTTTCCATAGGCCAACTGATCTAAACAAAAGTTCCTATTTTCTAATGAAATGACTTTGAACGAAATCACATTATTCTAGGACCTGCTGTATTTCAATGAAGAACACTGGGGGTAGAACAGGTTTGGGTCTTTCTGAATGTTAAGTGTGAGATGCAAAACCAGGTGGGAATGTTCACTTTCAATTACTGAGGTTCCCCTGTAACAGTGGTTCTCAACCTGTGGGTCACGACCCCTTTGGGGGTCGAACGACCCTTTCACAGGGGTCGCCTAAGACTATCGGAAAACACATATATAATTACATATTGTTTTTGTGATTGATCACTATGCTTTAATGATGTTCAATCTGTAACAAGGAAATTGGGGGTCACCACAACATGAGGAACTGTAAAAGGGCCGCGGCATTAGGAAGGTTGAGAACCACTGCCCTATAAGTTTGAGGGGAAGAAGAGGAACCATGTTCCTTATCTTTGTTACTCCAAAGCCTGCCATCCTGCCTGATACACCCAGTTTAAGGACCCAGAACATGTCTTTGAGAAGGATAGCTATTTCCTTTCCCAAGTCAAAATCCTGTGGGGGTTTTTTTCCAAGTCCAAATCCTTGAGGATGGGGATTCCTTATCTGCACAACGACTAACAAAGGGGCTCTGGTACCTAGTGGGAGTGTGCCAATGACGTCTATGGGATGGCAACATTTGTGTTTGGCTTTAACTGTAAACATTATTTATGCAGGGTGTGGACTCTCTCAAATAAAGGTCATTTTTCCTCTTCAGTGTAGTTTTATGTTGAAGGTGAGCGCAAAAACATTAAAAAAAAATTACCTTTTACCATGAACGGCCAGGGCTCCAGGCACACTGACAACCACAAAGGCACGAGACTACTAAGGAATGGTCCGCACCTGGGCAACCGAGGCTGCCAGCCCCTCCACCCCGGCAGGTGGAACCAACAAGGAGAGTGAGCCGCTCCTCCCAGCCAGCGCTGCAGGACAGGCGGCGGGCGAGGAGGGAGCAGCACTTCGACACCCTCCGCCTCCATAGTCCTCACAATCCCGGGGAATGTGTCGTTCAGATCCGCCACGCATCTTAGAGCTGACAGAGCTCAGAGGGACTCTGCCTCATCCCGCTTGCAGCGGTTCTCAACCTGTGGGTCGCGACCCCTTTGGCGGTCGAAGGACCCTTTCACAGGGGTCGCCTAAGACCATCCTGCATATCAGATATTTACATTACGATTCATAACAGTAGCAACATTACAGTTATGAAGCAGCAACGAAAATAATTTTATGGTTGGGTCACAACATGAGGAACGGTATTTAAAGGGCCAGAAGGTTGAGAACCACTGGCTGAGAGTCAGGTCTCGCCTTACCGCTCGGGTCCCAGTCCTTGCCTCTCCCACTCTCCTGTCCACAAGTCGTGAGGAGCACAGAAAAACTCCCCGGCACAGAGCAATGGACGAAAAGGCCACTCGCACCTCCACCATCGAGGGGCAGAGGGCACCTCTGCGAGCCCGAGCAGTCGGTCCCAAAGCCAGGCATGCCCTGGCTCTCGGGCACACGGTCCCCGCTCGCCCGCCGTCCCCTCGCGGCTCCATCTCGCTCACCGACCAAGAACCGGGAGATTTCAAGCGGCGGGAACGCAACACGACCTGGCGGCGGGTGTGGCCCAGCTGAGGGGAAAGTTGCGACACCTGCCGCCCACTCCCCTCTGGGTGCAAGCGACAGCGAAGGATATGAGGAGCCGAGGCAGGACAGTCGGCAGCTCCCGGCGGCACAGCTCCTCGGGCCAGCTGCTCAATTCCTCCAGGGGCACGGCGCTCGCCGAGACGGCGCCCTCCTGAGACATGTTTTTGCCCAGCAACCAGCTTCAAATCAGTCCCGCCACCGCCGAGACCGGAAACGCCGCCGTCCCGGCAGGCCTTGCGAGCTCTCCGACGGCGCCAATACCATAGAGAGGGAGCGGGCTGCGCTCCTTGTTGAGCCGGGGCCCTGCGCGGCTGAGACAAGGCGGGCCTCTCTGGCCCGCGGAGGACTCGACTCACTGGTGCGCGCTTTCAGCCCCGAGCATCTGGCGTGACATGAGGTTTCTACACGCGGCCGTGAGCTGGGAACTGGCGGAGCTGTGAGCTTCCCAAGGTCTAGATTACTGTCTTTGTTGTTACATTGAGGCGCTTTGGGGAGGTGAAGGCCGTAAGTCCCCAGATTTGCTACCGTCGATCCCAGGGGGCTTTGAGATTGCACATCTGATGGGGTTGGATCCGGTTCCTGTCCACTTCACCGTGTGACCCACTTTGTACGTCTTGTTGAATGGGAATAGAGACCCCACCTGCCAGAATTGTACGATCTGAAGCAGGTCTAGTACCGTGAGAGTCTCGGTAAAGTTGCTTCCACTGTCCACAGGCCTCTCCAACCGTTCAGTGTCCTTATTGTGTGTTTGTTCTGCCGCCAAACTAATCTTTACTGATTACTCCAAAATCACCCCACTCCCATGCACTTAGGGCTGCTGATATCCACTAAGTGTTGTGAGGTCATTTGCATGAACTTGCACCAGAGTAGAACCGTGCAAGTTTTTACAGGGCTACACATTTACCAAAAGAAACTCTTGATTTCCTGTTACTTGAAACAGGAACAGACTGAGTGAAGAGATGCTGTCAGTTTAGTAGGTAAATGTTTGGGCAGGGTCATGACGTGACAGACACCAAGCAGCTAGACTTGTCAGTTCCTTCCCGAAAATGTGGGACTTTGTTTTTTCTAGTTGTTGCTGCTGCTGTTCTATTATCTGTTTTTACTCTTCATTCTCTAATCCAGCTTTTGACCCCTGCGGGGTTGTGTGTTTCCAAATCTCCTTATTTCCCTCAAAACTTGTATAGAAAAAGTAGCTAGCTGAGGGGGTTGGGGTGATTACTGTTTAATATTATATTTCAAGGAAATGTGTCATTTTGCTATTTACTAACAATTTTATTTATTTATTTTCCTCCAGTTAAACGGAAAGAAAAGCAAAGACCTCTAAAAAGTCATTTGGAAACATCTCTAAATATTTATAACTGTATAAGCCACTACAGAGAAAGTGACCCAAACAAAACTACTTAAATAACTGAAACAGGTTTATGTTCTGTGTCATCAATTCTATCCAGAAGCTGAGGAGTCTCCCTTTGAACTGAAGGATTGTACGAGGATGACCTTCCAATTTAATTTCACTATAGAAGACCATCTGGATAATGAATTAACGCCCCCTGGAGATGGAACTTTGACCCCAAATTCCTCAAAAGAGTCTTCAGTCTCAGAAAGTCAAAAAGGTAAACACGGGGACACAAAATGTTCTACAGAGCAGTCTGTCTTGCCTCCGAATCACTCGTGGGGACCTACGTCAGTGGGACATGCAGCCCCCTCCCAAGACACATGCAGCTCACTCAATGCAGCTCACAGTTCAGGGAACTTAGAGCCTCATGAAAAACAGCCTTGCTTGAGACTTGCCAAAGAGCATGCTGTGCCTGAAGATTTAAAGAAAGTGTTAGAAAATAAAGTCATAGAAACATTACCAGGAATCCAGCACGTTAACATATCAGTAGTGAAAACCATCTCGTTGAAAGAGAACTGCCCTGGAGAAAACATCGTTTCAAAGACCTTTTCTTCTCACTCTGATCTGATTACCGGTGTTTATGAAGGAGGTTTAAAAATCTGGGAATGTACCTTTGACCTCCTGGCTTATTTCGCAAAGGCCCAAGTGAAATTTGCTGGGGGAAAAGTATTGGATCTTGGCTGTGGATCAGGGTTGCTGGGTTTAACTGCACTCAAGGGAGGGGCCAAAGAAGTTCATTTTCAAGATTATAACAGTTTGGTGATCGACGAAGTAACTTTACCTAACGTGGTGGCTAACTCCACTTTGGAAGATGAAGAAAATGATGGAAATGAGCCGGATGTGAAAAGATGCAGGAAATCAAAAGTAGCACAAAAACTAGGTCAATGCCGGTTCTTTTCTGGGGAGTGGTCTAAGTTTTGTAAGCTTGTAACCAGTGAAAAACATTTTGAAAAATATGATCTCATTCTCACCTCAGAAACGATTTACAATCCGGATTACTATGATACTTTGCACCAAACATTCCTTCAATTGTTAGGTAAAAATGGGCGGGTGCTTTTGGCCAGCAAAGCACATTATTTTGGTGTAGGTGGAGGTGTTCATCTCTTTCAGAAGTTTGTAGAAGAAAGGAATGTATTTAAGACTAGAACACTTGAAATAATTGATGAAGGACTAAAAAGATTCCTAATTGAAATGACTTTTAAGTATCCCAGTTAATGTCCACGGAGTGTCCTAAGTAAAATAAACAGAATAACTGAAAACTTGTTGAGAATGTTTAATTTCTGCTTTGCTACTTTTTATAATACAATTAGCAAGGGTCTTATTTTTTAATATATATTTTTATTGTTGATGGTATTACAGACGTCTCCCATTTTCTCCCCCTTTTCCCCCCGCTCCTCCCAGGCCCTACCGCCCCCCCCCCCCCCCCAGCCCCCAGGTCTTCTTCTCCTCCCTCTCAACCCCGCATCAAAGTATGTTAGTCTGTTCCATGCCTCCATGCTTCGGGTCTTATTTTGAGAAATTAGGATTCAATAAAATATATTTACTGGACATCTGTTAACTAGGTACTTTGTATAGCATCTTGCTTAATATTTATAACCTTATGAGGCATATAGCATCCTCATTTTAATAATGGTCACAATAGCTAACAATTCCCAGTATTTACTATGTTCAGGGCAGAAGAGCTTTACATATACTAACATTTAATATTAATAACAGCCCTGAATTGGGCTATGATTCAGGTTATAATTAGTATCTCCATTTTATAAAGAAATTGGAGTCAAGGAAGTAATTAAATCCCCATCACATTTCTCACCTTGAACCAGAATCTGAACTGATGTCTATTTAAAAGCTTTTCTTACCCACCCCAGTGGTCTCAACTTTACCACTGCCTGTTTTTCATCACAAATATTTAGCACCCTTGTATTATTCTGAAATGGAAGTCACAGTTAAAGAATCTTATTTACGCCCATCATTAAAAATTGTATACAATATACATAAATCCCTAATGTGTGTATATATAGTCATATTATAAACATATCATGTATATAAGTTTAGTTAATATCCATTATTTCATATGGATACAAAAAAAAATTAGAGAAAAATAAAACAATGTTTTTTTCCTTCTGACGGGAACTTTTAGGATATACTTTCTTAACTTTTATATATACCAAGAGTGGGAACCTTTTTTCGGCCAAGGGCCATTTGGATATTTATAACATCATTCTCGGGCCACACAAAATTATCAACTTGAAAATTAGCCTGCTATATGTGGTCAAAATATTTAATTAACCCACCCTAACGCCTTGGAAGAGCCAGACCAAATGCTTTTATCTTCCCCCTCTCCCTCCAATAATTAGATAGTTGTCTTAGCCCCATCTACGTGTATCCTTCCACTGCCCATTTCTGTACAAGTAGTAAACTGTTTTAATCAGTGCACCTATATAATGTAATTTTATCTGTCAGGCAAGACTTGCTCTTTCCTTTTCAAACCTTGTTTTGTTGTTGTTGAAGGTACAGTGTATGTTATTTACTGTGTATATATGTTCATTTTTCCCAAGTAAACTCTACAATCATTCTGACAATTTAAACAATTCCTTTGGTATTTTGGTTGATATTATATTAAATATATAGCTTAAGTTGGTGGCAATTAGAACACTGAGACTATTACATATTCTAATCCAGTCTGACAGAGGGGAAGAAATCTAGATTGGGGGAAAGAAAGCAATGAAACCATTAGAGATAGAAATTTTATTATTATTCAAATAGCTATGCCAACTGGGGCCCTGAGAAGCTGCCAAAGGACTTTCCCAACTAACGTATACATCCCTGTATTACAGGTACCAGTCAGAGCAACACATCCACAACAAAATTAGAATTAAAAAAAAAGAGGCCCACCTTTCAGATACCAATTCCTTTCAAAATATTCTATTAGAGTAGTTCTGAGCAAAACCCTTAGCTAGTGGCTGAAGGCTGGGGCTAGGCTGGGGCTGGGCTGGGGCTGAGCCGGGGCTGGTTCTCAGGGCGGCAGCTGTCCTGAGGAGGAAGATGAGGACTGTGAATGAGGGACGGCAGCCTTGTTTCTGGGAAAGTAGTATCTGGTAAGGACAGTCAAGGAAGATGCATCTCATCACTTTAAAATCAACTTTACTAGAACTACTAGTTGTCTAGTTTAGTCATTATTGAGATAACCACTCCAGAAGTAGAATGCCTTTAATTCCCTTTCACCATATTACAAAGCCTTCAGATGTTGATAGTACTTATTATTGCTTTTGCTGATGTACTAGAATGCTTTTGATACTGCTTGAATTATGCAAGAGTATAAAACATGACTTCTCTACTAAGTTTTTATAGTAACTTAAATACCTTGAAAACCAACACTGAGTGAATTAATTTCAGTAAGTATCTAAGTAAAAAAAAAAAAGATAGAGTTTCTATATGATTATAACATTTGGACTTCTTGTAATAGTTCAAACAATTCTAACTTATACAACCAAGAGGTCATTAGAAGAAAATACTAGTCTAGCAAAACTAGATTCTATCAGAGGAATGGTGGCGTGGGAGACCCCTTAGTCTCTCCCCTGGAAGTTTCAACAACCCGAACACCCAGATTTCAACAAAAGATTCCCTGCTCAAGCACAAATATGCCTGAGAGACCCACGCAGCGAAACATCTAAAGATGGGCATGTGGAGCAAAAGGGGAGGCAAAAAGGGACTGGGGCTGATATGAGCCAGGAACACAGCCAGGCTCAGCTGGGAGAGGGGAGGAATCTGGTCATTGTGGACAGCCCCTTGGCCATCACCACCTTTCCATGCAGCTTGGCCACCACCTTCTCTAACCTTGGCCCCAGGATCTTGCAGGGGCCACACCACTGTGCATGAAAATCCACAACCACGGGTGTCTCACTGTTGACAACTCATTCTTGAAAGTCAGGTCCATCCTGGATGTTAAAGGTTGTTGTGTAGACTGGTGGTGTGGGGGGATGTTACTGTCAGGTTACCGAGACTTTGTGGGGTCTACACAGATCTGGAAGTGAGGAGTGCCCACCGACCTTGAGATTTCCTGGAGATGTCAGGTACCTCCTCAGGAGAAGCCGCTGAACTATCAGAGACCCTGGCTCTCTGGAGGGCAGGCCGTCCCACCCTGGGCCTCCGCCCACTCGGCCGCTGGACCCCACGGGAAGGTGCCCGCAGAGTGCCTCAGCCAAGACACCACCTCCAGCCACCCACATGGGTCTCCTCTCATGTGTCTTTTAGCTCTTGGCACCCAGAAAGGCTTGGATGTACTTGTCTTCTTCGATACAAGGTAGAAAGTGCTTCTTAGATTTTCTCTCATTAAAGAGGGGCAGAGTGAAAAATGTGGCAGAGGAGGCTTTGGAGTAAACAGAGATATCAGAAAATGTAGGACATTTTCCCTTTTGAAGTGGGAGGGGTCACTATTAGAGTAAAAAAGGATACACATAAGTTGGGATGCCTTTTGCAGCCAAGTATTTCCGTATAAGTCGCTCAGTACCATACCAGTTGAAACCTTTCGTAGCATGCCCAATGCGTGGGAGATGGACACTTGCTGTTGAAAAGAAGAAAGAATAGATTATGATGTCTTCCTTCATCAAAAATGGATTGGTGGATATATATATACACAAAGGAGAAAATAATGTTTACTCTTAGTCTCTCTGTGGTTTCCAATGGACCAAACGTACATAATCATGGAGCATCCCACTCAAAGCACACAATTATAACATCAAGAATATTCTGGGGAGGGATGTAATACGGAAAAATAATTCTGTTGAACACAAGGACTGACCTACAGGTAGGCCCTGGAAAGAAGTAGGTACAATGGAAACAGAATATATGATGAATGGTCGAGATGTAATCAAAATCAGCAAAGATTCTTTAACAAGTCCATCAGTTCAACAAACTCTGAGATATACAAGGTTTGGAAACAACACTGAACTATGGTTTTTGACAGAGAACTGTCTGCTGATGTGGACTGTGACTCTCCAAGAGAGGACACGATAGAGGGCATTTCCCAACTGCATCTGACCAGTTTACTTCACCTCTGGTGCCTCCTTCCTCATCTGTAAAATCATGACACAAGTCCCCCAGTGGATGCAGATGTACACAGAGATCACAGATACAGGGATACAGAAAAAGGGCTTTACAAATACAAGATGACAAGGTGGTACTTCTCTCGCCTCTCACATCGGGACTTACCTTTATACGTATACTGAACAGGTTCTTGACATTTCTCACCCCTTAAAAACCGTATTACAGAAATCCATCTACTCCTGAGGACAAATGGAGGAGCTCACCTTTCTTTTTCTTTGCTGCTAAAAAAATCTTCTTCAGGCCCTCTTCTAGGGCTGTCATCTTAATGCCGGACAGGACATTGGAGCGATCACGGTGCTGAGCCACAATCAAGGCCAACTAGGAGAAACCATCATTAATAGCTGACACGGCATGAGATGGCTACACGGCCAACTAAGTGACCTGCCGTTGGAGGGGGTGTGTGCAGTCCCCCAATAGGCATAGCCCGATATGGATCACTCAGGATAGCTCCACCTCTTTGGAATGCTCTGCCTGAGTAGCCATATACTATCAAATCTATGATTTCACACCCCATTGTAATTGTTTTATCTTATTTTGTGGCAACTTTATATAAGCTTTTCTTACTCTTTTTAAGATATGTTAAAACCTGACGCCCAGCTGGTGTGGCTCAGTGGCTGAGCGTCGACCTATGAACCAGGTGGTCACGGTTCAATTCCCACTCAGGGCACATGCCCGGGTTGCGGGCTCGATTCCCAGTGTGGGACATGCAGGAGGCAGCCAATCAATGATTCTCTCTCATCATGGATGTTTCTATCTGTCTCTCCCTCTCCCTTCCTCTCTGAAATAAATAAAAATATATTTAAAAATTAGAAGAAGAAAAAAAAAAACCTGAGTCCAAGACATGTTGGCCTTTCTAAATGCTCTCAAGGATAAAGAAGGAATTTTTCAGAGTCTTTGGAGCAGAAAGGCCTTTTGAGGTTCTTGTACTCTAGCCCGCTAGCTGATGCTCAGGTAAGCTCTGCAACCACCAGGATAAGCGGTCATTCTATCTCTGTTCACAATGCCAACTACCTCCACCCTCCTAATCGAAGAGGGGTAGAGCTGGAGAGAGTGTCAAGTCAATATCTGGGACTTACACCAGTAGTCACATCATAGTCTTGGTTGTACTCACTGTAAACAGTTTTTTCTGAGTCACTGGCTTCTGAGCTTCTTATGCACAACCACTGTGTCATTCTCATTTTTTAGCATTTTAGAAATGACTACATGATTAAACAAGCAGAAACCACTTTGTTGTTAGGCACACAGGCCATTAACCTCAAGAAAAGGTCCTCTCAGCCTAGTTTCTAAATGTCTTGTTTAAGTCAGTGAAGTTTTCGTTTTTTTGTTTTTTTAATTCTCACCCAAGGACATGTTCATTGAATTTTAGAGAGAGAGAAGGGAGAGAGAGAAACATTGATGTGAGAGAAAAAAAAAAATCGATTGGTTGCCTCCCACATGTGCCCCAACTGGGGATTGAACCCATGACCTTTTGGGACAAGGCTCCTACCAACTGAGCCACACCAGTCAGGGCTAAGTCAGTGAAGTTTGGCCCAAAATTTGAATGAATTCAGGCCCTGGAGAAAGCTAAGTTAGTGGTAAATAAAACATTTTACAATAATTCCAAATCACAGGCAAGTGGGAGACACTGAAGATACAAAAGAAGAATTTTAATGCAGGCAGAGGAAATGTGGATTGGTTATTCTTGGCTTATGGCTGGCTAGAAAACAAGGTCTTTTATAGAACTTTTCATGTAACAAATGACAAAACCGTCAGTTTTTTTAGTCATGTTTTCCTATTCATTCAGTAAATGTTTATTGAGCATTTCCTATAAGCCATACTGCATGCAATATTGAGGATAAAAAGACAAAATTAAACTCTGCAATTAGGAGGGGCCTGTCCTCTATATCAGTGGAGAGAAGAAGGAAGTGGGGGACAGTGTTCCAGAAGCTGTGATGAACAGAAGCACGGGGGACGGCAGAGTGCAGCAGAAGGTGAGGTTCAACATTTGTGTCCCCCAAAATTCGTATGTGGAAGCCCTAACCCTCAATACTTCAAAATGTGATTGTATCTGGAGAGAAGACCTTTAAAAAGGTAATCAAATTGAAAAGGTCTTTAGGGTGGGGCCTAATCCAATCTGACCGACATCCTTACAGGAAGAAGAAATTTGGGCACAGAGGGAAGACCATGTCCCCACATAGCATGAAGCCAACCACCTGCAAGCCGAGCAGAGAGGCCTCAGAGGAAACCAGCCTTGCCAGCACCTTAATCTCAGACTGGTGGCCTCCAGAACTGTGAGAAAATAAGTTTCAGTTTCTGAAGCCACCCAGCCTGCGGTACTTTATGGCAGCCCTGGCAAACGAATTACAGGGACAGAGGCCAGTGGGAGCAGGAGCGGTTCCAAGGGGAGGCGAGAGGAGCCATATTTTAGCTCTGATATGAGATGTGTGTTTGTTCCACTTACCAAATCTTGCCCTTGGTTTCTTGACTCTCTATCATCAATAGGAAATAAAAGGACACCTCCCAAACTCAAGTCTGCGGTAAAAGAAAAAGGAGCAACAGAAAGAACATTAAGTTCGCTGCAGACTGAGTTCAATCAGGTTTCAAATTTGCCTTTTCTCACTCTCCTGGACCCAGTCACTGTCTTAGCTAGGTACTCCCTTTTTCCCCCTCAAAAACATTTTTTCTACTTTATATTTATTTCACAAAAGTTTACTATTGACATTATTGAACACCCTACTATTCCAGGCATTGTGCTCTAAGCCTGGGGATTCAGACATGAATATGATGGCATTCTCTCTAAGTGCCCTAACTTCTGTGTCTTTAAAGACCTCAGTCCTCGGAGTGGCTTCCTGCTCTCCATTCAGTAGCACCAGGGTCTTTGGGAAGCTGAGCCATTTTTGCCTGATATTTATGTTTACCCCTTTCATAAAGAGATGGCTTAGTTCCCAAAAAAACTCAATTTTTACAAAAATTTGAGATCCTGGCACAGTACGTTACATATAAAAAATAATACTTTTTAAATAGAAATTACTCAGCTAAGGTAGATTAACATATTTCTTTCCTGGCTCATGTACAAGGTTTTATTGTATAAAAAATACTCTTCTTTATTCAGAAATATAAATGGAATCAGTAAGAACTGAAAGAAAAGTGCCTGTTAAATCTGTTCAAATAACATCTGATAAGTTTGAGCTCTCAAGGTAAAGTCCATAATTGAAATAATTCACCTAAACAAATTGGCAATTCAATTTTTGATTGCTTGTCTATAGGAAAATACAATCAAGGAGATGAGTGTTACCTTTTAAAATTCTCTGCAAGCAATTAAAAAGGTGTATTTTTTGTAAGATTCAGAACAAGTCACCTGTTTCTTGGGCAAGGACTTAATACTCATGTTTGGCTGCAAAGGGCCTGACCATATTCTGGAACTCACAGTTAGCATTAGGTTATAAAGGTATTTTTACTTCCCCTACTCTGTGGCCAGAATGTTGAAGTGAAGAAGACTGTCAGAAGCACTTTAAGTTTTTATTTTTTTCTTCCCATCCTCCCACCCCACCTTCCCTTTTGGCAGCCATCAGCTTTTTCTCTATAAATATGGATGTTTCTATTTTGTTTTTGTTTATTCATTTTGTGGGTGTGTGTTGTTTTGTAGATTCCACATATGAGTTAAATCATAGGGTATTTCTCTGTCTGACTTATTTAACTTAGCATAATACCCAGTAGGTCCATCCATGTTGTCACAAATGACAAAATTTCCTTCTTTTTTATTGCTGAGTAATATGTACCACATCTTCTTTCTTCATTCATCTACTGATGAACATTTTGGTTGCTTCCATATCTTGGCTATTACTAATAATGCTGCTATAAACATAGGGTTGCATATCTCTTTTCAAATTAGTGTGTGTTTTTTCTTTGGATAAATACCCAGAAGTGGAATTGCTGGATCACATGAAGGCTCTATTTTTATTTTGGGAGGACTTGCCATACTGTTTCCCATAATGGCTGCATTAATTTATAATCCCACCAACAGTGCACAACAGTTCCATTTTCTCTGCATCTTAACCAACACTTATTTGTTCATTTATTGATGAGAGCTATTCTGAAAGGTGTGAGGTGATACTGTGGTTTTAATTTACATTTCCCTGATGATTAGTCATGTTGGTCATCTGTATGTCCTCTTTGGAGAAATGTCTATTCAGGTCCTCTGCCCATATTTTAATTGGATTGTCTGGGTGTTTGTTTTTTAATCCTCACCCGAAGATATGTTCTTATTGATTTCAGAAAGAGAGGAAGGAAGAGGGATACAGAAACACTGACATGAGAGAGAAACATCAACTAGCTGCCTTCCGTACGCACCCTGACTAGGAGTCGAACCCACAACCTTTCAGTGTATGGGATGATGCTCCAACCGAGCCACATTGACCAGTGCAAATGGGATTGTCTGGAGGTTTTTTTGGTGTTAAGTTGTGCGAGTTCCTTACATATTTTGGATTTTAATCCTTTATCGGTGTATCATTTGCAAATATCTTCTCCCGTTCAGTCAGTTGTCTTTTCATTTTGTTAATGGTTTCCTTCGCTATGCAAAAACTTTTTAGTTTATTTTTTTCTTTTGTTTCCCTTGCTGAGAAAGCAACAATAATGAGTTTACTGCTTATGTTTTCTTCTAGGAGTCGTATGGTTTCAGGTCTTACATTTAAATAAGTAATCTATTTTGAGGGGTTCATTTATATGGTATAAGTGGTCTAATTTCATTCTTTTGCATGTATCCATCCAGTTTTCCCAACACCTCTTATTGAAGTGAGTCTACAAACGTATCCATTAAGGGTTATCTATTTGATGGCATATAATTGTTCAGAGTAGTCTCTTATGATCCTATGTATTTCTGTAGGTTCAGTTACAATTTTTCCTCTTTTATTTCTGATTTGAGTCTTCATTTCTTTTAAACATATTTTTATTGGTTTCAGAGAGGAAGGAAGAGGGAGTTAGAAACATCAATGATAAGAGAGAATCATTGATTGGCTGCCTCCTGCACGCCCCCTACTGGGGATTGAGCCTGCAACCCGGGCATGTGCCCTTGACTAAAACCTAACCAGGGACCCTTCATGCCGCAGGCCGACGCTCTATCCACTGAGCCAAACTGGCTAGGGTAAGTCTTCCTTATTTCTTAGTCTCACTAAAGTTTTCTCAATTTTATTTCTTTTTGAAAAGATAAACAGATTTGTTAATTTTTTTCTATTGTTTCTCTGGTCTCTAATTTACTTCCATTCTAATCTTTGCTATTTCCTTCCCTTCTGCTAACTTTGGGCTTAATGTGTTTTTCTTTTCTAGGTCCTTGAGGTGTAACATTAGGTGGATTATTTTCGATCATTCTAGTTTTTTAATATATTCACTTATCACTATAAACTTCCCTCTCAAACTGCTTTTGCAGCATCCCATAGTTTTTGGTATGCTGTGTTCACTTTTTTGAGATATTCTTTGGCTTTCCTTTTCATTTCTTCTTTGACCCATTGGTTGTTCAGGAATGTGTTGTTTAGTTTCCATGTGATTTTCCAGCTTTCCTCATGTTGTTGATTTCTAGTTTAATACCATTGTAGTCAGAAAAGATACTTGGTATGATTTCAATTTTCTTATTTTGCTAAGACTTGTTTGGTGCCCTATCATATGATCTATCCCGGAAAATGTTCCATATGCACTTGAGAAGAAAGTATATTCTGCTGCTCTTGGATGGAATATTCTATACATGTTAGGTTTGTTTGATCTAATGTCTGGTTCAAGCCCATCATTTCCTTGTTGATTTTTTTATCTGGAGAGAGCATATCCATGGCTGAAACTGAGATGTTGACGTCTCCTACTATTATTGAATTGTTGTCTATTTCTCCCTTCATATCTGTTAATATCTGCTTAATATCCTTAGGTGTGCCAATGATATGTACTTAGGGTACATATATATTTATGACTGTTCTATTTTCTTGATGAATTGATCCCTTTATCATTATATAATGACCTTCATCATCTCTTATTACCATTTTTGGCTTAAAGGCTATTTCGTCTCATATAAGTATAGCGAACTCTTCTTTCTTTTGGTTTCCACTTAGATGGAATATCTTTTTCCATCCCTTCAATTCCAGTCTGTGTGTTTTTAAGGCTCAAGTGGGTCTCTTGTAGGAGGCATATAGTTGGGTCTTTTAATTTTTTAATCCATCCAGCCATTCTGTGCCTTTTGATTCATGAATCCAATCTATTTACATTTAAAGTAATTACTGATATATAAAAATAACTTACTAATGCCATCTTATTAACTGTTTCCTGGTTGTTTTGCATTTCCATTGTTTCTTCTTTTCCCTCTGTTTCTGCCTGTCTTTCTAAACTGGTTATTTTCTATGCTGGTATGCTCTTTTTCCCCTTTCTTTATCTTTTTATTTTTTTTATCTGCTCTAGGTTTCTGCTTTGTGGTTACCATGGGGTTTACATAAACTTCTTATAAATAGAACAGTGCATTTTAGGCTGTGAGGATATGCATTCCATCCTAGATTCATCAAATCTCCCTCTTGGTTTCAAACAAGGATCCAAACAGATACTCCTCCACCTGCACCTCTAGCTCTGACCTCTGGGCTCTAACTGCCCAATCAATATCTAGACCTGGGTTAATTATTTCAACACATATTAAAAGCCATCTTCCAGTAATTTGTTTTAGTAGAAAGAGTATTTTATTCATTCTAAGTCCATTCTAGAGAACTGAGCAGAAGAATTAAAAAAAAAAAACAATCTCTGAGAAATGTGAAGGGCCCTTCTCTATTGAATAAGGTCCTTTAGCCTCTCAAGTTCTTTGGGAAATAATTTTACTCCTTTTGCCACTTGGTGATTTCTGCTCATAAGAGGAGGTGCCCTTACCCCTTCTCTATGCCAAGGGAGAATACTGTTCAGACTTCCAAATCCCCTGGCACCAAACAGCTTCACCCCCGCCTGTGCTCTTTATAATACAGCCTCCTTCCCTTCAGCACCCAGCTTCTGTTAGCACTTTAATGGTGTGTCTGATTTCTCTCCCATAGCCTCTCACATTTTCATGAGAGATTCCCTTATGGCCGTGGTCGGCAAACTGCGGCTCGCGAGCCACATGCGGCTCTTTGGCCCCTTGAGTGTGGCTCTTCCTAAGCCTTAAGAGTACCCTGATTAAGTTAATAACAATGTACCTACCTATATAGTTTAAGTTTAAAAAATTTGGCTCTCAAAAGAAATTTCAATCGTTGTACTGTTGATATTTGGCTCTGTTGACTAATGAGTTTGCCGACCACTGCCTTATGAAGATGGGGTGAGTTGGATAAGCAATGAAATCCTAAACTTTAACATGCATGCAGGGATCAACATTTATCAAAGCAGTTGCACATTCATTATCCTCATTACAGTCCCATTATTCACAAATTATAATTGAGAAAACAGGCACAGGGAGGGGAAGGGACTGCCTCAAAGTCACATTACAAGTAGCTAATTGATGACAGAATTCAGACTCCAACCAGCTCTTCCGACTCCTTCTCTATTGCTTTTTAAACCCACATGATACGTACCCTAAGTGTCCTCTCTTATTCCATCCCTAACCCATCTAAGGTTATTCATTTTATTCATTCTAAGTCCATTCTAGAGAACTGAGCAGAATTAAAAAATTCTTACCTTTCATTTTCCCAGCCAGCTCATATATTTTTCTTGGCTCAGTGGATCGGTTTTCCAGAGCTGTGAATAAACCACCTCTGCCCCAGTGGCCAGAGTCATCTGACAGAAGAAAGAGAAAATTTTCTTCTATAGGAGGCAAAGTCCAGTTCACATTTAAAAAAAATCAACAATGCCGAAACTGGTTTGGCTCAGTGGATAGAGCATTGGCCTGTGGACTGAAAGGTCCCAGGTTCGATTCCAGTCAAGGGCATGTACCTTGGTTGCGGGCACATCCCCAGTGAGAGATGTGCAGGAGGCAGCTGATCGATGTTTCTCTCTCATCGATGTTTCTAACTCTCTATCTCTCTCCCTTCCTCTCTGTAAAAAATCAATAAAATATATTTAAAAAAAAAAAATCAACAAAGTTACACCAAATAGACTTCTAGAACAGCGGTTCTCAACCTGTGGGTCGCGAACAATAAAAATACATCCTGCATATCAGATATTTACATTACGATTCATAACAGTAGCAAAATTACAGTTATGAAGTAGCAACGAAAATAATTTTATGGTTGGGGGTCACCACAACATGAGGAACTGTATTAAAGGGTCGCGGCATTAGGAAGGTTGAGAACCACTGTTCTAGAAGGAAGTTTTTTCTTCCCTTTGAAAAATCAATCTAATCTCCTAGGAATACCATAGGTTGGATTTCTCAAATATGTTTAGATTTTCTCTAATATACCCGGCCATCATAACAGGAAACCATAAAAAAAATTAGTGTTCTGCAAGAGCAAAATCTCTGTAGAACTTCTGCAATTCCTGGGAGATGACCGAGGAAGAGTGGAGAGTTGACGTAACAAAACAAAGAGAGTTGTAGCACTAATACTTACAGCAATACGTGACTCCCATTTTACAGGTAAGGAAGAGGAAAGGTTAAATGATTCCTTCAAGCTGCTGTTAACATAGCTGGTCAGTACCTTGTATTTAGAGCCATTCGTTCATTCATATTACAAATATTTGTTAGCATGTATTACGTGTCAGGCATTGTTCTAAGCACTGGTGTTATAGCAGTGGACAACAAACCTTGCTCCCATGAAGCTTATTTTCCAGTGCAATCAAACAGTCAAATACATAATGTCAGATGGTGATATGTGTCATCAAATAAAATAAGGTAAGAAAGGGGATAGAGAAATGGAGGCGTGAGGATGGGGTCTGTTCTGTACGAGGCAAGCAGGGGAGATCTCTCTGACACACAGACATTTGAACAATGCTTGATGGTGGCTAACTGGGGAAAGAGGGTTCCAGGCAGAGGAAGTAAAAAAGTGCAAAGATTGTGAGGGGGAAACAAGCTTGGAATTTTGCTTTTACTCAAAGGATTCATTTGTCTTATGGATGTTGCCTCCTTTCACTCTCTTAAAAACCTTGTGAAGAGAATAATGTAGATAGTATCATCCCATTATACGGATAAGGAAGTGGAGGCCGAGGGAGGTTGGGTTACTCAACCAGGTAAACGAGAGACAAGAGTCAAATCCAAGTCTCTTGATTCTAAAATTCACACTTTTTGACCACACAAGACTGCACTAGGCCAGGGTTCTGCTTCATCCTCCCCAGTTCTTAGCACCATAAAGACTGAGGCCCCCACCCTGAGTCCATACCATTTCTCCTACCTACGCAGTGCACGATCACAGCATCCTCCGCGCCGGCCTGTGGGTGGGTGACATCACCACTAACATACTTGATGGAGGTCGCATCTGAATCTTCATAATCCAGTTGGACTGAGCTCTCATCTTCCCCGTCCTCTAGATTCTCGGGTTCACTCTCCTCGGAAGGCAGGCAGAAGGACTGGTAATTATTGGACTCCCACCAGGCCATCCTTCAACAGGCCAGAGAGAAAAGGAATTTAATCAGGCAAATCACCATTTCCCGTGGAGCACGTTTTGTATTGCTATTCACAAACATTGAGTGCCAAGTGGAAATGCAATTAGAAACTCACCCTGATTTGAGTTTTTGCCAATCTGTTAATAAACAAGAAGGCTTACCCATTAGCTTGACTGCTTCCTGTCTATACTGCAATAATGAGCAGCCACCAGATGTCCCTGTTCTTAAGAACATGACTGAAAGGGACTGTGAGTAAACTACTTTTTATTAGCTACAATAAGATCTTAAATTTTCTTGCCCCAACTGAATGTATCTTCTCTGCCTAGGCACTCAGGACTTTTCACCTCAGCAAACTGTTTAGGTTAAAGTTTAATCATTATAAAAATATTGTTACCAGTAGGAGCTGCCAGCTTTATAAAAGTTTTCTGCAATTTTTTCCCCTGCAATTTTAAAATGATGTTCTAGCCCCAGCTAGCTCAATTGATTAGAGCGTCATCCCAATACACCAAAGTTGCGGGTTCAATCCCTAGTCAAGGCACATACAAGAATCAAGCAGTAAATGCGTAAGTAGAACAACAAACAATGTCTCTTTCTCTCCTCTCTCTCAAATCAATCAATACTTTTTTTTTAAAGTGATGTTCAACTGTGGACTCAGTATACAACAGTGATTCTTTTACCAACTGTGATCCTCAGCTTTATTGATAATGCAGTCAAATAACGCCCACATACTTTTTCTTATGTTCCACCTCTTCCTTTCTCCTCTTCTTCTCTTCTATTAGTTTCTTTCTCTTGGCCGCTGCTTCTTGTCTTTTCTTCCTTCTCTCCTCCAGCTCTTCAGGACTTAGAACCCGCTTCCTCTTGGCAGAACCCTCCACAAGGCCTGGCATGAGAACCTGTGGAAGAACAAGATCTATAACCAAGAAGTTTGGGGGCTGCCTGTTCCTTCATGAGTTTCATTCCTCCCTAGAACACACTCTGTATGGCAGCAACATGCTTAATATTTCACAAAACACTGCATCTCCGTGCCACTTCAATTTGTACTTCCATCACACATCTCAAAGGCATGGCGACCAGACACTGAGCTCTGAACTCAGCCAAAGGACTGGCATGGTTGGTAAAGCTATACGTCATTTTGATTAATTTCATTAATAATAAGGCACTTCAGAAAAATCACTTTTTAAAAATGGAAAGCATACCTTGCAGGATGCCATTTTAGGTTTAACCATTTTTTTAATGAAAATCTTCGTACAATGTATTATATTTCTTTCTTAAACAGAATATTTCAACATCATGATTGTCTTAATTATAGCTAGCATTCAAAGAGTACATATTAAGTGCCAAATATGGACATTAGAGATATAGTGTGATTGCGATCCTCTCCTACTGACATGGGGTCATGATCATCGAGAGAAGGGTATGCATATGGCTGTAACACAGTGATCCCAGGGGTGGTTTAAGTGGACAAGCTGCTTTCACCTGCGGTAAGTGGCAAAATAAATTCTCCTTCCTAATGTTTTTTATGCCAACCTTTTACACAGTTTTTATATTACAGTACAGTTAATCATACTTATATTTCTTGTTTCTAGTGATTATGTATACATTTTATTGCTACATTAGAAATAAACTGTAAGAAGCTGCAAAAGCATGTCACTTCGTAAAGATTAGAGGGCAATGGAAGCATCCATCCTAGAAGGTTACAAGTGGTTCACCCTACAGACACAAAGGCCATCAATGTGAGGTTAAACACCATCTGCCAGCTGGAATTTATGCAGCAATGAGGAGTTTAAAAATGTATGTAAGAGAACTCTGGTTACCCCTGACTCTTAGCCAGGGAGTATGAGTGAGAAGACATCAGACGATGCCTAAAATCTCTACAACACAAAAACAAGCCCAAATCCAAGACACTCAGGCAATGCTGAAATTTGTTCTTCAGACAAGATTTTTTTACAATATTTGAACACACTCTTTCTCTGCTGGATAGTTTCCTTTGGGGAGAGAATAATTTTTTCTTTGTTACTGGTTTTCTTCAGTTTTGACCTGTCAAACTTCACTTCAGACAAGTCTGGCTTATCACTCATCTTGACTAAAAGAAAGACTGAAGGCTTGAAGGCTGGAGAAAGGCAGACGGCGAGGGGGAGACCACTCCACACACTGGCCAAGGTAATTATACTTATATTTCAGCAAATGCTTACAATTTATTTCTTAATAAATCACATCCAGCCCAGCCGGTGTTACTCAGTGGTTGTTAGGGTTCATGAGCCAGGATGTTAGGGTTCTATTCCCAGTCAGGGCACTTGCCCGGGTTGCAGGCTCGATCCCCAGTAGGGGCATGCAAGAGGCAGCCGATGGATGATTTTCATCATTGATGTTTCTCTCTTCCTCTCTCTGAAATCAATAAAAATATATTTTTACTACCAAAAAAAATCACACCCAGTATAATTTTTTATTCACTTAGAATGAAAAATTGAAAGAACTTGCCCTAATCGGTTTGGCTCAGTGGATAGAGCGTCGGCCTGCGGACTGAAAGGTCCCAGGTTCGATTCCGGCCAAGGGCATGTACCTTGGTTGCAGGCACATCCCTAGTTTGGGGTGTGCAGGAAGCAGCTGATCGATGTTTCTCTCTCATCGATGTTTCTAACTCTCTATCCCTCTCCCTTCCTCTCTGTAAAAAATCAATAAAATATATATTTTTTAAAAAATTGGAAGAACTTATTCTTTTATATAAATTAACTAGAGGCCCGATGTACGAAATTCGTGCAAGGGGCTCGGCCTCACAGCCGAGGGCCGGGTTGCGGTGGCTGCCTCAGCCCTCACAGCCCGGGCTTTGTCTGGAAGGACGTCCAGAAGGTGGTCCGCTGTGGTCTAATTAGCATATCACGCTTTTATTATTATAGATAATTCTTACACTGCCTTTATTTCGGAGTAACGGGCCCTCTTGACTAGTTTTCTCCAAAAGGATTTTCTGAAGATTCACCAGTTGCTCAAATGATTTTCTGTCTTCTTTGCTGGGCTCCTTAGAATAGTCTTTCCCTTCAAATAAGTACATATGATTTTCTAAGAATATAAAACATAAAAAGAGAAATGTTAGGTGTTTATAGAAAATTGATTAGTTCTATTCAAAGCAATAACCAGGGTGAACAAGGAACAGCCTGTATTCTACACGGGCCAAGACTAGCTTGTGATGAAGGTGCTGCATTTCCGATCCCACTGACACCGACGGGTCTGGATCCAAATGGAGATCTCACACATTTATTTTTCAAAGGAGAGCATGGCTAAAGCCCTTTTGGTCATCTCTGCATGGTCCGTGAGTACCTCCATCCTGTTGAGTTTTGAATCACTCATCACTCATTCATGCCACACTATTCCTCAGCACAAACCTCCCAACATTAGTAACTAAGAACATATTCTGAACACATCTTTAATACTCAACTCTTTCCCCTTTTCTATAATATTAAAAAAGCAAGCGGCAAACTGATGAGAAAAATGAGGAATCATAAACATAATCCCTTAGATTTACGGTAGTCTTTCCAGATCTCAAAAAGCATTTTCATGAGCCTCACCACAATCATGGTGTAACTAACCCCTTCACTTAAGAAAGGGAAAACAGAGACAGACCAAGACAGGGATTAAGGGACTCCCCAATGTTTACTGTTAATAAATAAAAAAGGCAGAATTTTCTGACTCTAAGGCCAGTGTACTCTTTCCAGTATATTACTGTGTCTATAGGAGAAGAGATAACAGGCCAATTACAGTAACAGCAATAGTGTAATCTTGAATTAGCATGTTATGCTATCAGAGCACTTTCACATCATTATCACATTAGATTTCTGCAACTGTTTAAAAGAGAGAAGCAGACATTAACAGCACCATTTTACAGATGGGAGCACAAAGGCTCAAAGAGGTTGGGTGACCTGCCAAGACCATGAATCACTGATAAAGGAAACTCATGACAAGACTAGCAACCACAGAGAGGTGAAATGATGATTCTAAACTGAAGTGTATTTAATAGTATATGTTACCGCCGAAACCGGTTTGGCTCAGTGGATAGAGCGTCGGCCTGCGGACTCAAGGGTCCCAGGTTCGATTCCGGTCAAGGGCATGTACGTGGGTTGCGGGCACATCCCCAGTAGGAGATGTGCAGGAAGCAGCTGATCGATGTTTCTAACTCTCTATCTTTCTCCCTTCCTCTCTGTAAAAAAATCAATAAAATATATTTTTTAAAAAAATAGTATATGTTACCAAAGAATATATTTTCACAGCATTATGAAATCAGCTATAAGTATGTTTTCTCTAGAGCAGGGGTCCTCAAACTATGACCCGCAGGCTACATGCAAATACAAATATTGTATTTGTTCCCGTTTTGGGTTTTTTACTTCAAAATAAGATATGTGAAGAGTGCATAGGAATTTGTTCATAGTTTTTTTTTAAACTATAGTCCGGCCCTCCAACGGTCTGAGGGACAGTGAACTGACCCCCTGTTTAAAAAGTTTGAGGACCCCTGCTCTAGAGAGTACGAAAGCAAAATATTTTTATTCTCAAGAGATCAATTGCTTCACACGTATACCCAAATACAACCAGCTGTAATTCTAATTGGCACTTGCTAATTAAATCAACAGTGGGCTTTCAATGAGGTGCTCCATCAACATGTGGAAACAAATAAAGAGCTGAAAAAAATAATTAAAGAGCCGAGAAGTGTCAAATATGATCAACATATGTAGCTTCATATTACAGGCAATTCTCAACTTACAAACATGCTGGGCTGCCTGAAAAAGTAATTGTTTTTTGGCAGTTGGACAACTTAGAAGGGGCAGACATGCCTTGGCAGCATTATGGCTAAAGGTAGGAAGGAAGCAAGTGATGACAACTCAGGGTCATACAGAGATAAGAGAACCCAAGACCAGAAGTCACATCAACCCTACTCCCCACCAGTAAAGACACTGAACCTGATCTCTGTACCCATGGGATAAGGTTCTCTTGAATTAAGAAGCCTAATAGGACTCTCAAACCTCTCACCCAAGTCCACACTGAATCCTTGTTGCCACTGGTACAAAAAAAATAAAGTCCTTTCTAAACAAGCATAAGACATCAGGGAACACCCTTACAAAGCTACTATGTGGAAAAAAAAAACTTCAAATCAGAAATTCAAATATTCAGAATAGAAATAGACAAATGTTAACCAAACTCAGAAAAATTAAGAGAATGACCAAAGCATCTCATGATTTACATGTATTGCTTCGTTAAAAAATTAAAATGAAGTGGTGCCTGCACCTCGTGGGGTATTGTGAAGAGTAAATGGAAAATTAGGTGCATAAAGCGCATGAGAGAGGGCACACTTTTGATTGAGCACAGCACACTCAGTGTTAACTGTAACTTAGAAAACAAACCCTCATGCTATTCAGAAAAGGAATCACTATATGGAAAGCACCATACTAAGGACGGTCGGATTTACTAATAAAGAAGAGGATGCTTGCAACCAAGGGAGGAAAAGTACAAACTAAGATCCCTGAGATTGATACCACATAAGCATCAATGTCATTACTCTGATTCAAAGTTCAGCTATAAGGGAATAGCCAGATAATGCCCAGTCAGTCTGGAAAGGGTTCCTGGACCAAGTCAGTCTTAAACAGTGTGCCCGAGATGAGAACAGGCTGGGTAGGAAAAAGACGTCCCAGAGAGCAGTACTGAGGACCTTCCATGGGGACTCATCTCATGTCCTCGCTTAGGGGGGCTGTGCCCTTTGTGCTGCTCTCACCCCCGACTTACTTCCTTCCTCTTGCTCTCTGCTTCCTTCCTCTGCGGTAGGCAAGGCATCAGAGATCCACTGGCCATCTTTTGTTTCTCCCAGGATAGACTCCAGGTCTATTTCATCCACGGTGCTCCCCTCAGAGGACAGCAGTTTATCCAAACCGAATTTGAGTATCTCACCCAACTTGAATGGAGAAAACAAAGTCCAGTCAGTTCTCATGAAATCAAACACTGGGATATCAGGGATTTGCTAAGTGACACCAGCTATATTCCTTCCCTGACGGTGGGCCGTTTCTTCTCTCCCCATGATAAGAAACCAACAGAGCCATTTAACAATTGAATGATGGCTAAACAGAAAGTATGATAAATGATGGCCAGAGATGTTGATTTTGACAATTCTCATAATAAAAACAAGTTAGGAGCCTCCAATTATTTTTTTGAAGAATAACAGTAATTTCTTGCATTACCATTGTCCTCCTGACCGAGTCTTTTTCATAGGCATTCTCAACAGACACAGAGAAGTCAGAGACCCTGTTAGAGCTAAGAGGTTAAGATATCTGCTCAGAGCCACAGAGTCAACAAGTGACAAAGCCTGGATTTGAACCCAAGTCAGATGGATCCAAAGCACATCATTATTCTTTATTCTGCTGTCTTCTATATCATTTTCATTTCTAGCTTCTACAGCAGCCTGCATGCAATAGGTACTAGAGGAGGAAGAGTTTGGCCAGAGACCAAATGTATAGTTGAGGAGAGTGGGTGATTAATGCTAGTCTTTTTTTTTTTTTAATATATTTTATTGATTTTTTACAGAGAGGAAGGGAGAGGGATAGAGAGTTAGAAACATCGATGAGAGAGAAACATTGATCAGCTGCTTCCTGCACATCCCCCACCGGGGATGTGCCCGCAACCCAGGTACATGCCCTTGACCGGAATCGAACCTGGGACCTTTCAGTCCGCAGGCTGACGCTCTATCCACTGAGCCAAACCGGTTTCGGCAATGCTAGTCTTTTAAAAAATATTTTTGTTGATTTATAGAGAGAGAGAGCAATGGAGAGGGAGCGAGAAAGAGAAACATCTATGTGAGAAACATCGATAGGCTGCCTCCTGCATGCCCCTACTGGGACTGAGCCCACAAACCGGACACGTGTCCTGACCAGGAACCGAACCAGCAACCTTCTGGTCCATGGGACGACGCCCCACTCACTGAGCCATACCGGCCAGGGCAATGCTAGTTCTCTTCACTTACATTCTCATCCACAGAGAGCACTGACTACAAACCCTGACATATTCTGAAGTGAAGAACAACCTACTATACCTGGAGGTCAGCATCACCTGCAGGCTTCCGGGCTCCCAGAGTAAAATGCCCTCCCTCCATGATTGCGCTGGTGAGCTGCAGCTTGGAGGCGGCTTTCCTACAAACTATCTCTTCCACGGTGTCTCTGCCGATCAGCCGGATAACCTTAACAGACCTGTACAGAAGTCAAAGGAGAGGAGTGTGCTACCGGAGTCTGCAAAGATGGGTGCAAGCATACAAGGTTGATGCACCTAAAAGGAAATAAACCCAAAATGCCACGTTTGGGGCACAGCTAAAGGGAGACTGTTATCCATGGACAGAGCCACTGTTAAGAGAGATCTGACCTCACATAGGGCCTCACTAAACTTTTCCAAAAGAGTTAAGAAAGGGATGCAGATGTGGTCAGAACTGGGATTCCTTATCTGTGGCAGAAGAAAACCTCTGGTAAACCTAAATTATCTTCGGGTCAAAGGGTCAGACCCATCTTTTCAGCTTAGTTCCATCACACCACAGATTTTTTAACTGAGTCAGACCCTAACTCAGGAAGGATGAGTTAAATAACTTCTGAAGGTTCCTTCTCGTCCTTTCACAATTTGATTTTGCTCTGTTTAACAAAGCAAGTCTTGAGCGAGAACGTGCCCTGCCCAGTCAGCAGCAAACCCGGGCTAACCCCTCGCAGTCTCTCAGCCTCCAGCCTGGGACTATCACAGGATTACCACCTTCCTCCCCAAACCAGACTGCCAAGTAGCCAACAAGTGGAAACATGCAGCTGCTTCAATCTCTTACTTGTTCTGGCCTATTCGGTGAGCCCTGGAGGCTGCCTGCAAGTCATTCTGAGGATTGAAATCGCTGTCAACAAAAATAACGGTATCTGCTGCCGTTAAGTTCATGCCAACTCCACCTGAAAACAATGCACAAAGGAGAATGATCAACCGTATGAGGACTAGAGACGAGAAAAGACACAGGCTACAGAGGTCAGATTGATAAACGGAATTGTCAAAATATCGGGCTTCTTCCTTCAAACTCGCCCCAATCTCTAACTCCAGAAACTTGCAGTGGTTAAAACTGCTCCCTGAGCTCCTACCGCCTGACTTGGGATAATTTAACTACGGAAAGTAACAGAATGAGGGGAGTAGGAGGAAGCAGCGGAAGTGGATACTTAAGTAGTGGACAGATTCCGATTTCATTTCACAAATTCATGGCTGGGGAGGAGAGCTACCTCTACTAAATTAGGAATAAAACTGTCCACAAAATTATTGAAATCTGGGGCAATCTCAGGTCAATGGTTAAAGCAGATTAGAATCACTCCCTAGGTTTCAGCCTTACTTCTCTGACGAGATGACAGCTAAGAAAGGCTGGCTACAATAGAAACCATGCTAGAAGGCCAGTACCTTGATAAACTTATGGCAACGACCTAAAAGTCCCATTTTTTATACTCCTCAGTACTGACCTACACTTTCAGAGAAATAAGGAAAAACATACTAAGTGCTGAGATGTAAAAGTCCTGTATCATCCCTTATTTGCCTTTGCCAATGCCAATGTGACTTACCTGCCCTGGTACTTAGAAGAAATACAAAAATGGGCTGCTGTCCAAAGTTCTTAATGGCCAGGTATCTCTCCTCTCCTCTCACGGAACCATCCACACGCTCGTAACTGTAGCCTTCACATGCAAGAAGAAAACAAATATTAATCCTTTTCAGATACTTGAATAAAGCACTGTCAGCTCAAAACCAAATGCTAATTGTGTCCCTTTCTCTATACAAGCATGCCCCAATTTTAAGCAAATCCCACAGGCAAAGTTTAAAATTTAGGGGTCATTTTATTGTCTTACCAAAGAACTTTCCATAATGTACTCCCCTGGTTGTTTTAAATACACGCAGTTGGTAAGATATACTTGGCATTCCTGGACTGAATGTTCAATCCTGACTCTCCCAAGCCACCTAAAGCACACTGCGGACCATGCTGTGCGGCGGTTCCGTTTGGCTACGACATAACTCTCACTTATGCAAGCAGTAAGCAAGCGCTTGGGAGCTGGCGAGTGAGCCTGCCAGATGGCTTCAGGCTTCACCGCAGACGCATGTTGGAGAGGGGAATTATGTGCCCAAGCCATGTTTACAAATCTGGGGATTCCTCAATGTGCCAATGGCATTTCCTGCAAGTGTCCACTGGACCAGTTTACAGTACCTGGGGGGCATCAAGTGGCTCTGGGAGACTGTCTATGAGTTCTTCTCCTTTTTTCTTAAATAATTTTTTATTTTTCAATTATAGTTGACATACAATATTATATTAGTTTAAGGTGTACACCCCAGTGATTGAACATTATATAACTTACTAAGTGACCATCCCAATAAATCTTATACCCAATGACACCATAGTTATTAGAATATTATTGACTACATTCCCTATGCTGTACTTTACATCTCTAAGACTACTGTGTAACAACCAATTTGTACTTCTTAATCCCTTCACCTTTTTCACCCATCTCCCCATCCCCCTCCCATCTTGCAACTATCAGAACTGTCTCTGTGTCTATGAGTCTGTTTCTGTTCTGCTTGTTCGTTTGTTTTTTAGATTCAATTGCTGACAGATAAGTATTTGTTGCCATTTTATTGTTCATATTTTTTATCCCTTCCTCCTCCTCCTCCTCCTCCTCCAAGACCCTTTAACATTATATAATGGTTTGGTGGTGATGAACTCCTTTAGCTTTTTCTTGTCTGGGAAGCTCTTTTAATGTCCTTTGATTCTAAATAACCACTTTGCTGGGTAAAGTAATCTTGGTTGTAGGTCCTTGCTTTTCATCACTTTGAATATTTCTTGCTACTCCCTTCTGGCCTGCAAAATTTTTGTTGAGAAATCAGTTGACAGTCTTATAGGTAACTAGCTATAGGAGATGCCTTGTAGGTAACTAACTACGTTCCTCTTGCTACTTTTAATATTCTTTGTCTTGCCTGTCTGGTGTGGCTCAGTGATTGAGCATTGACCTACGAACCAGGAAGTCATGGTTTGATTCCAAGTTGGGGGCACATGCGTGCAGGAGGCAGCTAATCAGTGATTCTCTTTCATCATTGATGTTTCTCTCTCTCCTCCTCCTCCTCCCTGAAATCAATAAAAATATATATTTTTTAAAAATTCCATTTACCTCTTTCTTGGTTGATATGTGGGCTCTCTATAATTTCAGTATTCATCTCTTCCACTGACCTTGAACAGGTACTCAACTGTTGAGTTGAATGTTGCAGGACACTGATAGCTACTTTCACTAAAACTATTTATCACAGATTGCAAAAATTCTCAACATTTCTGCAAAACACATTTTCTCCAGGGCCCATATTTTTAAATCACATCACCGATGGGAATGTGTGTTTATTTCTGCCCACGTGTTTGCCCCGTGCTGCCAATCCTTGCGTCACACACTTTCCTCCTCACTTTTAATCTGCCTTTGGTCTGAGTAGTGTTCGTCTATGCTTTCCTCTGTAACATCCCCACACCCTCAATTACTCTTCAGGAACCTATCTGGACTGTTAAGTCTGAAAAAGGCTGGAGAAATGTAGTGGCCACGGGACGTCACCTCTATAATCCATGTAGTCCTGGAGAATATCCAACATCTGGGTCATTTGGGAGAAAAGTAAAACTCGATGGCCCCTGGCAAGAAAAAGAAGTTTCAAGTGAAATTTACCAAAGAATGCAAGTTTATAAATAAATGAAATGCTGAAGCAGAAGTATAAATGTCATAATCATTTACAGAGATTTCCTCTGAAATGCTAAATGCCTTATGGAAGGACATAGGTCCAAACGTAGCCATATCCTTCACAGTAGTTCTCGAGGCAGAGAGGGAATATCCCCAGGGGCATGTGTCAGTGCACCAGGGAGGGTATGAAGCCCTAGGACAGAGGTCCTCAAACTTTTTAAACAGGGAGCCTGTCCCTCAGACATTCCACACATGCGCACTGTGGGCCCGGGATGAGTCGGCCGCTAAGCAGGACAGGCAGTGGCAGCAAAAACACCTGGCGGGCCGGATAAATGTTTTCGGCGGGCCGCATGTGGCCCGCGGGCCGTAGTTTGAGGACCCCTGCCCTAGGATAACCAAGGTGCCTCTCTCTGTAAGATCAATTTACCAAGTGGGAAGAAAATTTTAGTTTAACAGCAAATAAAAGACATTAGAAGAGTAAGATGCAAAATGCAAATGCACCAAAAAACCGGAAAACGCTGAAGAGTTTGGGGTCAGCCATCTGCATCTACTTGAGGGTGTAAAGTCACTATCCTCTCTTCTAGAGCTATGCTGGTTGAAGTCTATGAAGCATTAGAGAAGCAAGGGGCAGGTGATATCCCATAAGATACATGAGAAAACTTATGTATAGAAAGAGGAGTGAAGAGAGGAGGAGGCAAAATGGGGTAAGCCAAGAATGAAGTCAAGTCTAGAGCCCCATGATATCAGTTATTTTAAGCCGTCATACACACAGAAGTATGGCACTGTCAAAACGTATTTCCATTTAATCTGAGCTTGCAAGGGGTACAACAGGAAGAATTATAAAGAATTCCTTCAAGACTCTAGCCCCAAATAGGAAAAGGCATTAAACTTGAAGCTGAAGACCTCAATTCTAATCCCATCTCTACCAACTGTTGACTGGCTGACTTTAGACAAGTCATACAACCACTCTGGGTCGGTTTCAACACCTATGAAATAAAATGGTTAGAGAGAAGATATTTATGGATCCTCTCCAACTCTAACACACTTACAGTATATATATATCAGAGCCAATAGAATATAATAAGACATGCAATTATTTGACTAGCACATTCCTAATGGTGGGTGCTTTTGCCAAATCTGAGGTTTTAGGTTGGTTCAGGCCCACTTGGGAAAATAGGCTTTGGAGAAGCCCTGAGTCACTGTACTAGTACATGTGAAACATCTGAAAATAAATGTTTTTTTCCTGTATCTCTGGGTACTCCTGTGTATTTTCCGGTCGCCTGGTAAATTCTGTAACACAACCACCTACCTAGAATATAGGTATGCCAATAGCTTATCCAGCAGGTGAAGTTTCCCACTGGCCTCAATCAGGTGGTCTCCAATTTCAAAAGGCTCTGGTTCCACACCTGGAAAGAGAGAACCCACTCTCAATAGTGTCTCCCCAGTCAGGCCAGACTCTGTGATGGTGAAACCCATGGCCAGGCTACAGCAAGAGGCCCAGCTCCTGCCAACTGATAATGGGCCCACATCTCGTCTCTCTTTGAGGCAATTTATACTTGTTTGTTTGCATGGTCATCTCGGTGCTGCTTAACATCTATCACAGAGCCTGGCACACCCAATATGCCTAACAAATGTTTATCCAAGGAACAAACTGACTCTAGGATATTGAGGCACAGGGAGATGCTAAAGACCAAAGAGACCCAAAATTAGTATCTTGAGGCTTTAACTCTAGAAAACAAATTAAGAAATAGGCTTAGTTGTATACTCTAGTTAAGTCTCAAGTTGGGGATGTCAGTCAGGTTAACCTGGAGGGCTGCTTTCAAAATGTACATGTTCCCAACACCCCCCTCCTTGGAAAAAAAAAAAGTTCTGATATGCACCTAATTAAGATGCTGTGACCTCTTTAAACAATTCATAGTGCTACTTGGCAAAGACTCCCTTAAAATTACTGCAGCAAACCTTCTGCATTGTTCCTATCCCTACTAGAGCCCCCACAGACACAGAAGTCCTGGAATTGTCCCAAAGACTACCCATTAGATCAGCGGTTCTCAACCTGAGGGTCACGACCCCTTTCACAGGGGTCGCCTAAGACCATCCTGCATATCAGATATTTACATTACAATCCATAACAGTAGCAACATTACAGTTATGAAGTAGCAACGAAAATAATTTTATGATTGGGTCACAACATGAGGAACTGTATTTAAAGGGCCAGAAGGTTGAGAACCACTGCATTAGATGAATTAAAAAACCACAACAGTTTGAATGAAAATGAAAACATTACATATCAGAATGCATAGAATGCAGCGAACACAGCACTTAGAGGGAACTGACAGACATCCATAAAATGAAGAGGGACACAGCAAAGGAGGCTAAGAAGGCGTAGACGTAACACAGGCGGAGAAGAGAAAGTGCTGCCCCAAACCCCATGTGAAGAACACGAACGATGTGCCAACTGTGTCAAAGGTTTTGAGAGGTTAATTAAAATGTGAACTGACAACCACTGGATGGGCAACATGGAGATCATTCGTAAACTAGGAATAACAGTGGTGAAAGGCTGAGTAAGTTCAAGACAAAGGGACATCTTATCTTATTATATAAATATCATCAGATGAATCCAGATTATAAGACATCCCCTAAAACAAATGGCCTTGATTCTCTCATTGCCAATTTCACGAAAGACAAAAAATGGCCACAACAATAAAAGTGAGAGATATTTCTAAATTACAGGAAAACAGAGACACGACAAATGCAAGCAGGATCTATGACTGGATCTTGAATTAAAAAAAAAAAAAGTAGCCATCAGGGATATTATAGAGGACAACTGAAGAAATTTGAATATGATCAATATATTAGATAACATCAACATAAAAATATTAACAAAGTGGAGGGAAAATAGACAGTAAATACAGGCAATTCTTTTGAAGAATTCTGCCAACATGTTGGCCACAGAAATGTTAACACAGAGTAAGTGAAAAGACACTGCCTTACCATCAAACAAATATGGGTGATCCACACACTTTCGAAGCTGGGATAAGACATTCTGAAGTTTAACTTTCTTTGCCATCTCATTTTCAAATGCATCTGGAATTTTTAAAGAGAGAGAGAGAAATAGAGATGAATGACTGAACAGCAAAAAAGAAACCCTCTATGTTTCCATATATAATCTTATTCGTTTTAATAATATATCTTTCAAACCTATATTAACCTCCCAAATTTCATTGAATCGCATCAAGAATTAACAGCACGTCCACAGGAAGTCTCCTTAACCATCATTTTGTTTTAAGAAGGGCACTAACTATAAATTGATCTCAGGAGCACTTTGTTATTCTTTTGTAAATTCTAAATTTCCTTCTTTAACTGCTGCTCAGGAGCCAAGGGACCAAAAATAAAAATTAAAAAAATGAGAGATTGTTCCACTCCTCTCTCTCCCGTTCACTCCCAATTCCTCCCAGTGAATTTGATTCAACAAAAACGTTTTGCAATGTTTTCAATATCTTGTAAATATCTAAGAGGGTGGGAAAATTAAAGGCATGACTGAACACCTACAAGTGTTTGCAATAAGGAAAACTGCGTGTGGGAGAGGTGGGGGAGGGAATTTCACAACGGCAACAGCCAATCACGTCTGAGTTATACTGAAGACATTCCTTCCAGCCAGTTTCACTGCAGCTGACCTGAATATATTCAGGATACAAAATTCCAGCCCATAGTCTTGCTGTACAAAGTGAGTGTGATTATAAAATATTTCCCTGCATGAAGACCAAACAGGCAAGTGCCCTCTGATTACCTAGGTCTTTCATCAAAATGGCCTTGTAGTACTTTTTCTGCAGTGCCGACATGCCATGGTATATCACTACTTCTGTCTTCTTGGGAAGATCCGTAGCTACCTCAGATTTCACTCGCCTCAGCAGAAATGGCTGCAAGAGTTTGTGTAGTTCACTTGCTGTGTAAGAAAAAAAAAACACACAAGAAGTGTGGGATAGAAGTAAGACCAATTACTAGAGAACATACAGCAATTTTTTTTTCTCATTTTCATGCCCATTCTGCATTCTAAGCCAATATGGTAATTTTTCAGTGATCATTACTAGCTCTTAAGAACTAGAAATACCCAACGAACTTGATTCTTACTGATAATCTCATTGATCAGCATAACATCTGAGAAATGCACAGGCCAAGTAAGTAATATTTCCCCATTTTTAGAATGAAGTGAGGCTCAGAAAAATTAAGCATCTTATCCAAAGTTACACAGCTAGATGCTACTGTTGCTAGCATTCAAACTTAGTTCTTCTGACATCAACTCCCTTGTTCCTCCCCTAAGTGTGGTAAACTTCAAAATTAGCCAAAATTGGCATTATACCGCATGCACAGTTGCCACCTACAGCAAATAAAAATACAAGACTTCAGCTAAATTTGAATTTCAGATGACTTTTTAATACAAGTATGTCCCATGTATTATTTGACTAGGTGTCATATATTTTATCTGGCAACCCTAAACATGAGCAACCAACCTCAGAGCAGGTTCCCCAAGGAATGTGTGGGGATTTTTGTATGAGAAGCCTTTCCAATTCATACTCACCGAGTACACCCATACCCACTAGTAGAACGCCTACCATTTGTTTAGAATAATCAGCCTGGCATAATCTCATAGGGCTATACAGATAATTCTATGAGGCAGAGGTGCACAGATGCGAGGAAGAAGCCCACACCAGGCAACTGTACGAATGAGGAAGGCTTTCCTCCTTCACTTCCACCACACATCCATCCAGGACTTTTCGTTTCAGTGCAGTGTTGATAGAAGAACCAATGTTGTGGAATGCTGAACAGTAGTGGAGGGCTATCGCACCCATATACTGTTCTGCCTCAGGAAGTAGCACAGAAAGTTAACAAGTCCTTATAGAAATTATATGTCAAAGTCTATTAGCAGAAACTTCCTATTTCTTCCAAAATTCACCCAAAGAAGCCCTCATGTAGAATCATGTCACAAATAAGAGAGTCATGAATAGCAGACAACTGGGAACAGCATGAGAAATCTACCAACATCTGATTTTTGTGTGGCTCTTTATCTTCCTGGAAGGTATCCTCTGGTTATTGATTCTTTCTTTTCTATCTATAACCTATTTGCACTAGGCCAGTTTCTGGGTCCAGATCTCTTGGGAACAATTTGTCAGAAGGGCACTTGCCTGACTCAAACTCTTTCTCAATACTCTGGTAACGCTGAACAAAATCTTCCACCTGCTCCTTGGAAAAGAGATCAGGCTCCACAAAACTGAGGAGGGAGTAGAGCTCTTGGAGGCTGTTCTGGATGGGAGTACCGGTCAGCAGGAGATTGAAGACTACTGAGAACTCAAATACATAAAGAAATAAAGTAAAAAATCTGTAACATTGGAAAGCAAGGCAGAGTTAGCCATCACAACCTTTACCCATATAAACAGAGATATGATTTAATGGAATGACCATGGGGACATGAAATCAAAAGGCTCAGGTTCAAGTTGCATACTATCTGTTTGATGTAGGAAATAACACCTCTTCAGTTTCAACTATTAAAAGGGGATAGTAATTGTGATGGAGATACCATTGTAAGAATGTAAATAAAATCACTTTGTGAACTCTGAAGTACTACATGAGTATTCAGCATGGTCATTATTATTCCATGTATGTGGGGATTCAAGCTATATTATCACCTATGTGAGGGAGTCCACTGAGGCATCAGAGGTACACAGCATATATTCATGCAGTTCGAGAAGCCCAAAGTTATAGCAGCAGGCCCCACTGCTATAAGCACAAACAAAATCTATACTAAAAGAATGTCCTTTTATAAAACTTTACAGTGCATCACATGTAACACATCAAGACTTCCGAACATTTCTAGACACAGGGTCATATACAGCTCAAAATGCAAAGAAAGTCTTTCCATTTTGAGCAAAGATGATAACACCAAGAATAAGTGACTAATGAAGTAAAAGGTTAGGAAAAACAGCAACTATAGACCTGATGGTCAAGCAAAAAACAACCTCGGACCTCACATTACCAAGAACGTACACCATTTGAATTAAATAGTACAGCAAAATGGGACAGCCATATCCTATGTATGTGTATTGTTTTAATTTTTAAAATAGGTTATTATGCAAATATATGTTTGGAGATTATATATATATATATATATATATATATATATATATATGGCAAAGGATATGGTAGTAATAAACACCAAATGTTAATAAATACAGAGGAGTAGATATATTTTGATTTGGGAGAAAGTCATAAGAAGATACTATTTTGTCATAAGAAAAGGTAATAGATGAATTAACACAATCAATTAAAACTGACTTGAATATGTTTTGCTTTTTTTGGTAATCTTTTTTGTTTTTCTGAAAACAGCACCTTAGAAAGGGAGGAGTTACAATAGTGCCCTCTTATGGACATTCTAAGAACAGCACCCTAGTAAGAAATTCTGCCAGTCTAAGAAATCCCTATTGATAGACCTAGAAGGCTCTCGTCCTGCAGGGAAAAGTTGCAATAGTGCCGTCTTGTGGACATTCTTAGAACAGCACCCTAGTAATGAATTCTACCAATCTGAAAACACACCACTATTTTTATTTATTTTTTAAAATATATTTTTATTGATTTCAGAGACGAAGAAAGAGGGAGAGATAGAAACATCAATGATGAGAGAGATTCATGGATCAGCTGTCTCCTGCACGGCAGTGGGGATCGAGCCTGCAACCTGGGCATGTGCCCTTGACTGGAATTGAACCCGGGACCCTTCAGTCCACAGGTCGATGCTCTATCCACTGAGCCACACCAGCTAGGGCACAACACTATTTTTTAAAAAATCTTTATTGTCGCCAGGCCAAGGTAGCTCAGTGGTTGAGTGTCGACTTATGAACCAGAAGGTGTCAGTTCAATTCACAGTCAGGGCACATGCCCGGGTTGTGGGCTCGATCCCCAGTAGGGGGTGTGCAGGAGGCAGCTAATCAATGATTCTCTTTCATCATTGATGTTTCTATCTCTCTCCCCCCACTTCTTCTCTGAAATCAATAAAAAAAAATACTTATTGTTGAAAGTATTACATATGTCCCCTTTTCTCCCCCATTGACCCCCTCCAGCCCACCACCTTTCCCCCACCCCCGACCTTCACCACCCCATTGTCTGTGTCCATGGGTTATGCATAAATGCATATAAGTTCTTTGGTTGATCACCTCCCACCCCCCCCCCCACCCTCCCCAGGCTTCCCTCCAAGATATTGTTTCTTTTTAAAATGTCTAATAGTGTCCACCCATTCATGCCTGGTCTACTTTTGGGGCAAAGTTTTCATAGTATTTCAAGTATGCGAACTGGCCAAAAATAAGTTTCCAATAACCAGATCAGATTTTTGCAATGTGTGTTCACCAGGCAAAAAGATGAGATGACCTAACAGATATGAGGTCACAAAACCAAGGCTGTTGGTCACTACAATCAACTTACACTATCACATAAGTTAACATTTTTATTTAAAGTAATGTCTGTTTTGGCATCAAAACTTATAAATGGATAAAAAAAATCCAGAGACAATTCATTTGTGTACATATATATATTGTTAATCCTCACCCAAGGATATTTTTCCATTGATTTTTTTTTTTTTAAAGAGAGTGGAAGGGAGGGGGAGAGACAGAGAGAGAGAAACATGGATGTGAGAGAGACACACAGATTGGTTGCCTCCCGCACGCACCCTGACCAGGGCCAGGATCGAGCCTGCAACCAAGGTACGTGCCTTTGATCGGAATCAAACCCGCAACCCTTCAGTCCCTGGGCCAATGCTCTAACCACTGCACAAACTGGCTAGGGCTATGTATAATATTTTGTAAACTTTTTTGTGCAAAATATTTTACAAATATTTTCCATGTTATTAAATATCCTTCTACCTAATTTTTCATGGTAACCTTACTTTGTAAACGTAGTATATGAACATAGCATAAATTATACAATCAATTATGTTTCACATTTAGGTTGTTTCCAACTTTTTATAAACAAGCTGAAAACAATATTAGGAAGGAGAATAAAGGCAGTAACCTCCCCACTTCTCAGCCCAATCAGTGCTAGTAAATGTACTTTTTCAACCAATGCGTTAACTGCAATTTAAACCTCACCTAAAAAGAATGCATGATGACAGAGAACAATTTCCTTACCTAATCGCTCTGAGGCCAGCCCCAGAACTTAGCTTCCCCACTCCAAACCTCGTGTTCTTTTACTACACCTGCTTTTCTTCTCCCCTTGCAAATTAGTAAACTAATAACTCGGTAGCGTATGAAGCAGTCTCTTATAAGATTAGGCACCAGCATATGTAAACCTCCTGGGGAAAAGAGACACTGTTACAAGTCCCTAAAAAGAAGGCCAAGGACAATAAAGCAGAAAGGGACTCACCACAGGACAGCAATCTTGTGATTGAGCTAATAACGGACAGTGGCCGTATCTGCATGAAAATGCTAAAAACTGTAACTTTTAGCCAATAAGGATAAAATCCAGACTTCTCTTCAAATGACCTCTAAATTTACTAACTGCTCACAGGACAGGGACCAAACTTCAATGATGGTCACAGAAATTCGCACATGTGGCCTCACGAATGAACAAGCCTTTACTTGATTACGGAGAAGGGCACTTCACATGCACAAGCTGCTCCACGGGGTCCTCGGGAGAGAGCAAACCTCGGGCTGTAACAACATTTCTCATCTTCTTTGCCAGAACGATGTCAGAGATCAAGAGAAGGAAATGAGATCAAGGGTGTCATACTCAAAAGTATCACCAAGACAAGGAAGACTGACGGTAATATTCAATGGCATGAAATCAGTCTCTTTGTGACTCTATGTGAACTGCTCAATTTTTTTAACAGGTATATGGGGAAGGGGGTACAATATATCAGATAGAGTATCTGCTATTGCAGACAGAAGAATTATAATAAAACTTTTTTTTAAAGAAACTGCCCCTCTGAAGAGAGAGTTGAAACATTTCCAAAAATACAATGTATTTTATTGGTGTAGAAACTTATTACTTCTTCACTGGATAGCCAGATGTTAGAAAACATCTCCTCTGCAAAAGACTCGAGGAAGAAGAAGTGAGGCCGTATTATGTACCTGCTGTCACCCACGAAATGTTCCATTCAGCTCGGCAGGAATGTGGCTGAAAGAACGTTTCAGCGTAATTGGCTCTATGCAAGCCTAAACTGATGTTTTTTATTTATTTTTTTTTTTTAAATATATTTTATTGATTCTTTACAGAGAGGAAGGGAGAGAGATAGAGAGTTAGAAACATCGATGAGAGAGAAACATCGATCAGCTGCCTCCTGCACATCTCCCACTGGGGATGTGCCCGCAACCCAGGTACATGCCCTTGACCGGAATCGAACCTGGGACCTTTCAGTCCGCAGGCCGACGCTCTATCCACTGAGCCAAACCGGTTTCGGCTAAACTAATGTTTTTTATAAGGAAGTTATATTAAAAACTAAAACTAGCCTGTGAGTTTACCTCTGAAAGTGTCTTATGCAGCAAGGAGCTTTGATTTTTCAACCTGTGAGCTTCATCCACAACAAGAACGCTCCAATGGAAGCTGTGAGAGAAAAATCCAAGCTTTCAGTTTTGCGTAACTCAAACACGTATCTCACATTCAACAGTCTCACTACACAACTGTGGGTATTGTTGGGAAGATGAATATTAATCCCAATCTATGAGAAACACACTCAAATGGCCTTCTTATCTGAGAGCCTACCATGGACATGTGACAATATCCAGATAAGGTACTTAAAATAAAAGGAATTTTTCCCAAGATAGGAAAGAGCCAGTGACAGAAAGCAAAATGAAACATTTAGGACCACCTACTGTGTGCCAGACACTGAGCTTGGCTCTTTATGTACGTTATTTAATCTACCAGAATATGGTGAGTACAGCAAACCCTTGATTTTGCAGACCTTGATTTAATGGACTTTAGATTTAACGGACGAAATTTCCAGTCCGTATGTCATATGTGAAAATGAACACCCTGTTAATTTTAAAATGCTTTTAACCAAGATTTGCTTATAATTAAATTAACAGAGGTTTTTGTTTTGTTTTGTTACTAAATCACTGTTATTTTTAACAAATTTTAGCGAATAGGCCATGTGTTGGGAAAAAAAACACTGTAGTAATTTCGCCGACATAAATAAATATTACATATCTACAACTATCGTCTACATATTTAAATCTAAGAGTCACCACTCGCAAACAATGTTCAGGGAATGATTAGCATGTGATCACATGCAGAGTTGTTGGTTCTGTTGTCTCCTGGCGTGACGCTGCAGCAGTTTTAATGAAGTTCCGACGTGTGCTAAGCCACACCTCAACCGTGTGCATCTGTTTACTCGTGGTGGCTGGTGAATGCACACATTTACTCCACCTATTCGGTATAAATTTAAAATGACAGTAATTTTATAGAAAACTCTTCTGTGAACTCAAACTTTTCATACATACTTAATTTTAATTATATAAATGTGTCAAATAAGTAAAAAACAGATAAATGAACCGATTTGTCAATTTTTTATCATTCGCATTTGGAAAACCTACTTTATTATATAACGGACTTTCAGCATTAAAGGACACCCCCCCCCCTCGCCCAAATGAGTCCATCATAGCGAGGTTTTACTGGAGACATTATTGTGCTCATTTTACCAACAAGGAGACTGAAAGCTCAGAAAGACTAGGCGACTTGGTCAAGGGCATAGAGGCAGAGCTGAGATTCAGACTGAGAAGAAAACAGACAATGGTGTCACCACAGCTAAAAAAGTATGATGTTAAAATGAGGAAGTGGTGAACAGGACAAACCTTATGGATGTCTGGAAGATACATCCTCTGGGTTGTTAAAATGGAAGTCACTGGCTGCCAGAGCACATTTTGTAGCACAGCATGGTATAACAATTCCGCCCCCCCCCCCCCACCACAAACAATTCAAAATATTTTTTAAAGGTATGTCTGCATATGTTTCCAGCTGCATTATTTAAAATAGAAAAAAATCATAATAGGTCCAATTATAGGTTATAAAATATTATACAGCATTTTAAATAATAAAGATGATTATGTTGCAATAAGATAGGCCTATATCCTTTTTCACAAATGTGTAAACCACTCAAAAGATAATAAAATGAAAGTTATAAGATTTTTTTAAATATATTTTATTGATTTTTTTACACAGAGGAAGGGAGAGGGATAGAGAGTTAGAAACACCGATGAGAGAGAAACACCGATTTAGCTGCCTCCTGCACACTTCCCACTGGGGATGTACACACAACCAACGTACATGCCCTTGACCGGAATCGAACCTGGGACCCTTTAGTCTGCAGGCCGACGCTCTATCCACTGAGCCAAACCAGTTAGGGCTATAGTATTTTCTTTAACTCTTTAGTTTGTTTGTAAACATTCTGTAATTCCATTACATTAATTTATACTTAAAAAAACTAAATGTATATACAAGTAAAACAGAATATTGGAATGATAGTGGGCATGGGAATAAAAATCCCTAAAAAACTAGAAAAAGATCTTGAGCAGAGGTTGGCCTTACAAAGAGGAAGCCCTCTTCCTCTGAGGCTAGAGTGAAAAATCCAGAAAATGGTACAGAAACAGACACCTAGTACCATTCACTTTCTGAGGGGGGTACAGGTGGAGAGAGACTGGGGGTCCACAGAGAACACAGGAACTGGGAAGGATGAGCAAGGGGTGCATTTAAGGATTACCAGGAGCAAAGTCTCGCTGAAGCCGGACACTGGTCATAGATAAGGTGCGAAAGTGGCCACAGTAGAAAGCTGTGTGCCTGACTGAATTCGCATTCAAAACAGATTAGGTCCTACTCCCTTGTGAAGAACCAGATATTTAGGTTTTCACACACAGCAAGCAGGCATCCAATAACAGCTAGTTCAATGCAACAGGCTACAGGGAGATGGCTTTGGGCTCAGTAAAAGGCAGCAGGTAAAGGCACTCATCAGAGGACACTGAACGATGCTCCATGGAAGGCAAGAGGTGGAGGAAATCCCAGCTCTCAAGGACTGAATAAGTCTGTTGCCTGTCATAAAAAATTTTTCCTATTTTTCCTATTGTTACATGCACAGTCTTAACTCCCCACAATAAACCTCGTTAGGGCAGAGATGACATTACACTTCCCACGTATTCTCAGAGGGTGCAATACAGTAATACAGTGTACCCTGGCCAAATACAGGGTGGGACGAAAGTCAGTTTACAGTCATTTGCAGAGAAAACAATGCAATAATTAGCAAATAAGAATGTAAGAATAAACTGTGTTTTGTGTACCCACAGCTGTAAAACTCCATTTGCCCACTCCTGTTATCAAAAGAACCTATCTGTGTTTTGGGGATTCATACTATGAGTCAATGTTACAAATGTCCCTTCATTTACTTAGGTTCTTCAATTCACCTGGAATGGATTCAAGACAGACAATCTGCCTTAGAAAGATTGCATTTCTGCTGAACAAGGTGAGACTCCAGTGCACCTAGATCATCTGAGAAGCACGCTTCAAAGAAGGCTCCACAGCACTCGTGCTGGGTCAGGGTGTCCAGCTCGTTTAGTGTATATGATCACTGTTCTCTACAACTTACTAGTGGGTAGGTTACCTGATCTCATTTCCTCAGCTCTCAACTAGATGGTAACAGCCCTTGTAGGGTTGTCATGAGGACTAAATAGGATGATTGATATAAAGTACCAAATAACATTTATGCCTCAATCTTTTCACTGTTTGAGATGTCCCGTATATTGCCTTGTATTATGGATAGCTATCCCGACTAACGAGTTTTTCGAGATACGAGCAGTCTCTCGGCCGATTTTTTGCTTTGAGTTGCGAGCTAAAATTCGGGTTACGAGCCAGCTTCAGATACCCCACCGCTAGTTGGCGCAGCGAACGTCACAGTGAACGCCATAACATCAGCCCAGCATCACATGTCTCACTCGTTCACTTTAAGATTTGACATACGAGAAATTTGAGTTACGAGCTCCGTCACGGAACGAATTAAACTTGTAAGTCAAGGCCCCACTGTATTGCCTTGTATTATGGATAGCTATATATTTTTTATCCCTCTCCTGGAGTTAATGTCCTCTTAGGGTAGCTCTATGGCTTATCTTCCTGGTATTTCTCCCAGAACAGTGTCGTTCCAGAGGAGAAATCTTCAACAAATACTAAGTTGGATATTAATAAATAAACGCAAGAGAGGTAAGGCATATCCTCTCCTAAAGAAAAATAAGATCACATGCTCACTTAAGTGAAAAGTGAAACAAAATACTGGATGGAAGTCATTTTGAAAGCTATGACTGGGCCTTTAGTATTTCAAAATAAGATGAAAAAAGAAATTCAACTCTAAAGAACTTGAATGAGAAATAACATTTAAAATATTGATAAGCACTTTGAAAACAAAAGTTTCAGAATGTTAAAGATGCAAATCCCCACCTAACCACGTCATAACTACATGCAACGGAGAACGCGAAACTGTCAACAGATATTCTTTTCTTATTCGCCTAAAGTCTAGCTCTTGTTTAATTTATATGGTAACTGTTATCTCGACCCTATTCTGCAACATGTCAGCCTTATTATCAGGTGGTACTAAGAGTTAAATCTAGTTTCCTGTACTTCATGAGCACATATGAAGCCTGAAAGCTAATTGATTAGAAGTCTTCTTAACACTCCCTTTCTAAAACGTTAACTTTGTAGGCTCAAATCAGTCACTTCCTATATTACAGGAAAATCTCCAAACAGCAGTCCTGAAGGTGTCTATGCAAGTTGCAATTGAAAGAATCTAGTATCTGTTAACCTCACACCAGGCACATCTTATTTCATTTAATCCTCACAACAGCCATCCAAGGTAAGAGAGTTAATCATCCCCATTTTACACATGAAGAGTCTGAGGTTCATGGAGATTAAGTAACTAACCCAAGGACATACAATCTAGGGAGCTAGATTGTAGGACTCCTGCAGTGCCTCCTATCCTATCTAATAAAAGCGTAGTATGCAAATTGTCCCCTCAACCAGGGCACAGGGTGGCTGGGGGAAGGGAGGGAGGCCCTGGCCAGCAGCCAGCAGCTGCTAGGGACCCTACCAGTGCACAAATTTCATGCACTGGGCCTCTAGTTTGTAAATAAGACTCATGGAAGACATACAGGAAAGAAGAAAAGACATGAGTATCATGATACATTTAACGCAATTTCTGAAGAAGTGTAACATACTCACGATCTTAGAAATGCTGCATCTTTCAAAGAAATCTGAAAATTTAAGGAAAATACGTTATAAAGTCTGGTACTAGTATAACTCTGAGATCAATAAGAGTTAAGTTTTATTCATTCACTAAGTAAAAAGAGTTATGAACATCATTTCTAAGTGGCACTGTCTTAGACATGCAAAAGGAGGCAGTAAGTCCTGCTTACAGTGACTCGGTCTTAGCATGAAGAACAAGGACTTAAAAGAGACAGGAACTAAGCGTCCTCCATTTCCATCAGAGACCAGGGCCTCAGCCCACAAACCCTTTCCCCTGCCTGCCTGTCTGCCTCCTATTCATCAATCAAGAAGCAGCTCCAGTGCCACCTCCCTGGGAAGCCTTCCCCTTCACTTCTTTGGTCACACCCCCACTCTGATAATCTAATTGAAGTAGACTGTCCCAGAAAAATGTGCGTTCTCAAAAATCATTAAATACAATTCCAATGGATGTTACAACTTCCAGGGTCCCAAGTTAAGAGTTCTTGCTGTAGAGGAACAAATGGGTACCTCATAGGTAGTCAGCAACACATGAAAACATGGCTTCTGTCTTAGGTCTGGCTGTAGGTTGGCTCTCTCCTCTTTGTCACCTGTATATGTTACACAGGAAAGACCTGGAGCAAATCTGAATCCAAGAAAAGAAGCAGATGAACACAAACACGGAGCCATGGGACAGGGCATGCATAGCTGGAAAAGTACATTTCATGGAAGGACTGCAGATGTGCAGGCCTCAGGACGCCCTGCAATCAGAGAGTCCCGGGACTCTGCAATCCTGTGCAGAATAATGGATAAGTTCTTGTGTACACAGGTGGGAGGGTCTAAGGAACATCGAAAAAAAAAGGGTCTTGTGCTAACTCTAAAAACAAAATATTGGTTACTCCATCTGTCACTATGAAAAAGATGGTTTCTCCTTTAGTTCAGCAAAATTTACTAAAAATGAGGGCTGACCTTCAAATTGCCAAATAGGAACAATAACATGGGGCCCTCCTCCCATCAGATTCTCAGTCTCTGTCTACATTACCTCAGGTTAGAGTTTTCTGGAAAAAAATACGCTCACTGTTTAGGGCAATTTGTTGTTTTATCACACTTCGCACACCACTCAGAAAAAAACCTTAATCGATGCAAAAAATAAAATTTCAGCTACATCTGCTCTGTACCTTTCTATCTCTTCTTTCCAGTTGCTCAACACAGACAAGGGACAAAGAATGAGGAATGGTCCTTCATCATTTAATCTTCCTGCCAAGTAAATGAAGAAAGCAATAGTCTGAAACACAGAAAAAGAAGGCAGTGTTGATCACATTTCCATATGAGAAACGACCAAAGTTCCCACAACCTTGTAGAGAACACAGACGCTTACAGAACACTTGGTTTGCAAAAACATGATGTGCACATTAGGAGAGGCATCCGTTCCTAGAGTGAAATCACATAAGCTTCAAAATAATTGCCAAAGAAATCTGTGGCACTCAATCATATCAACAGTTAACAAGCAATGGTGCTCAATATTCATGCAATTGAACCTCTAATGCAAAGAAAAAAAATCAGGAAAGACAACAGAAATCAATGAAAACTATGCAAAGAATGTACAAGAGGTCAGGAGTACTCGGAAAACATACAGCAAGTGCCAGGGTATGACTGTGAAAAGGACCAACCACGTAATGGCCTCTGCTGCTTCCCAGGTTCTCTTTCCTTCCTACCTTCCTCCCTCCTACCTGTATTTTCAGAGCACCTTCTACTTGCTAGGCTACTATGCTGAGCTCTGGTATATAACAGTGAACAAAACAGATAAAACTACTAGCTCTCCTGGAGTAGACATTCTAGTGTAAAAAAACAAACAGTAAGTACTGCCTCATAAGCTTAAGTAGGGGTATAAAACGAAAATTTTTGTAAAGCCAAATTTTTGTAAAGTGGATACGGCTGTACACACTTTCGACTAGAAAAGTTTCTTTAGAAGATAGCTGTGATATACAGAGAAAATAGCTCTCTTTTATAAAACAAAAAGTCTGAGAAGCCTCCATCCCCACATGCTAAACTGTTTCTGAAAAAAATCTATCCTAGCCCTGACTGGTTTGGCTCAGTGGATAGAGCGTCGGCCTGTGGACTGAAGGGTCCCAGGTTCGATTCCGGTCAAGGGCATGTACCTTGGTTGCAGGCACATCCCCAGTTGGGAGTGGGCAGGAGGCAGCTGATCGATGTTTCTCTCTCATCGATGTTTCTAACTCTCTATCCCTCTCCCTTCCTCTCTGTAAAAAATCAATAAAATATATTTAAAAAAAAAAAAACTCCCGCAAATGCTCTTTAAAAAAAAAAATCTATCCTAAGGATATAATCCAAAATACTGAGAAAGCAAATACCCAAAGGTGTTCACACTGAGGTTAATTTAAGTAGCACAACAAAAAAGGAACTCATCATTCCTCATCTTTAGGACATTTAAGTAAATTATGATCAATTCTCTTGAAGGAATATTAAGTAGCCAATAAAAAATAATTATTGGGAAGAATAAAAATGGAAAATTACAATGACAGTGTTAGATTACTAAAATACAAACTATAAGTGCACTATAATTTCAACCATTGTAAAACATACACTACTATTTATGGCTATGGTTAGAGTACTGTGGTTATGGGTTGGTAGTTTTTTTTAACTGAAATTACATTAATTTTATAATAGAAATAATTTTCTTCTTTAATTACCTATCATTTTCCAATCCAGATTGTGCTCAGAAAAATCATCCAATAAATAAGTACTTATTAGATTAAAAGCACTCTGTCTAGCTTTTGCTGAGGATACTATTTAGAAAAAAAACTTACCTTTTGTAACTCTAAACCAGATATATCTACAAAATTAATTTGGATTGACTAGTGAATTATACCAAACATTTAAGAAAAAAAAACAGTAACAATTCGACATAAAATTCTAAAAAACTGAAGAGGAGAGAATACTCAACTCATCCTATGGGTCCAGCTTTCCCACAATACCAAAACCAGACAAAGATATTACAAGAGAAGGAAATTACAGACCAATATCCTTCAAGAACACAGATGCAAAAATGCTAGACAAAATTTTAGCATGACGAATTTTAGCAAGAGAGGTGCAGTGCTTTCAAGACTGAAATGATGTTGATGAATTTGGAGGTGTAATATTTTCAGGGCACTTACAAGTAGAACTACATGAACACCCTGGGGAAAGGCAAAGGACACGTGAAATTTGCTGGCTCTGAATTTGCTGGAGTCAGGACAATGCCAATGTCCACCGCAAAGCTGGCTGCAGGGAAGGCCTTGTACCTGGTCCAAGAGTCTGTGAGCCCGGCTCCCAGAGACATCAGGAAACCTAACTTTGTTCTCGTTCACAGCTCTCAATTTGGGAATATACTAGAACCAGATGTATTTGCCTAAGAAATATCCTCATATGACCATACTTGCAGGTCATATGGCATTCTGAATAACCCCAAGATTCATGAGGTGTACCTGCCTTAGTCCCCGACACGTGGTCAGACTAGTCTACCTGCAGAACTGCTCCAGCTTGATGCTTGTGTATGTGAGGTTAGAGCTGGAGGGAGCACTTGAGCTTCTAAAAGGACTAATGAGACCTTCACTCATTCTGTGTGTTCACTGGTGAAACCCGTACTTCCACGGTTTCTGATCAAGTTGCTGCTGCTGTGTCCTGACTGCACTGACTTTCTTTGGTATCCTGTAGACAAGAAAACCTTCTATAATATAGAAGGGGTCGCCTGAGACCATCGGAAAACACATGTATAATTACGTATTGTTTTTGTGATTAATCACTATGCTTTAACTATGTTCAATTTGTAATAATGAAAATACATCCTGCGTATCAGATATTTACATGACGATTCATAACAGTAGCAACATTACAGTTATGAAGCAGCAACGAAAATAATTTTATGGTTGGGGGTCACCACAACACGAGGAACTGTATTAAAGGGTCGCGGCATTAGGAAGGTTGAGAACCACTGTGCTAGAGAAATGAGAAGTGGTCCTCTACTCACTGGGGAAGGGAAATTAATATTTGAAGTGATCCAGCCAACTTAATTCGTTAGAGTATTGCTAAGGAAGACAGAAACGATTTGATCCCTGAGACAGGTATAATTTGCTTTACAAGAGAAAAACCCTGCCCAGGAACTAAAATAAGGGCAGTGACACAGTTCAAAACTGTCCCCTGATCAGAAAAGTCAGCTCCAATGTCAGAATCGCTAAATAAAGGTTCAGGCATTTCACCACCTCATATAAAAATGCATCCTAGTAACTAAAGATAGTAATGAGTTGTAAGAAGGTATTTCGGTAAAGATGAGACCACCCTACAGTGTCAGTGGGGAGCCAGTACTCTCACCCTCAACCCGAGGTTAAGTGACGTACCTGGCAGGTCTTCCCCAGGCCCATCTCATCTCCCAGGATGCAGCCATTCTGATATTGGAAGCGCTGGGCTAGCCAGTTGACTCCCTCCAGTTGGTAAGAGCGTAGGTTAATCCCTAGAAATAAAAAAACACAGCCAGTCCCAACGGCAAATATTTCAGCACACACACAGGCTACATTCTAAGACCAACTGAAGGATAGGGCCTAAACCCTATACCCCCAACATTACTGGCCATATCCTCTGCTGGGAAGTTACAAATATGTAAACACATGCTGACTCCCAAACTACTTTTTCAGCAGATTTAGCCACCATTATATTCAAAGCCCGGTATTATGGGATCCACATGACAGATGAAAAAGTCAACTTGGGAGCTGGCCTCTAATACTGCCTGACTCTAATGTTAGTGTCCATTCTAGGAAAGGAGGCATTACTGATGCAACATAACCACAAACAACAACACATGAATTGTACCTGTGTCTGCTTGCTTAATTGAAACCATTTGAATTTTGCAAAAAAATAAGAAGAAAAGACTAGATTAAATTATGCTTCAAGAGAGACGCAGTGCTTTTAAGATTGAAAGGATGTTGCACAGGGAGTGTTTAACAGTGTGCCAGGGCCGGAGGGAACGTCTGCGATCCACTGTGGAGCTTCTGCTGTCTCTCCTCTCCCCCTTGGGGAAAGAATATCCAATTTCAGAAAACAGCTACATCTTGGGAGAAGGGAGGACCCCAAGCATACTACTAACGATTAACAAAACTGTAATTTTCTGCTTTGAACTCACGACCTTTAAAAAGAAACTAGGCCGCCCTGACCGGTTTGGCTCAGTGGATAGATCGTCGGCCTGCGGACTGAAGGGTCCCACGTTCGATTCCAGTCAAGGGCATGTACCTTGGTTGCGGGCACATCCCCAGTAGGAGGTGTGCAGGAGGCAGCTGATCGATGTTTCTCTCTCATCGATGTTTCTAACTCTCTACCCCTCTCCCTTCCTCTCTGTAAAAAAATCAATAAAATATATTTTTAAAAAAAGAAACTAGGCCATATATAGTAATTGTAGAACATCTGGGGGAAAAATGTTATTTTTATTAAGCACTTACTAAATACCAGGGAGAGTAGTAAACACTTTATAGAAGTTACCTCCTTTAATACTTATAATAACCCCATGTAGTCGGTATTATCGCCACTTTGTAAGTTAGAAAATTCAACTAATCAAAGAAGACTAAAATGTGAAAGACCAACATGGCTTCTGGGAAAATGGAGATTTTCTTCTCACCATTCCTCTTGCTAATGCAACTAAAAATCCTGAATGTTACAAAGAAAACACACAAACATAAGTCAACTCTGAAAAGGTGGAGAGAAGAGGCAGCCCAGCTAGTGACCTCAGGACCCAAGGAACAACAAGGTGGTGAGTTCCAGGTTTCGTTTTGCCTCATCTATCCCAGACTTGGAGGCGAGAAAATTAACGACCCAGAAATGCCTGGACTCTGCCCCTAGGAGATCAATGAGCCCTCTCCAATACCCCCCTCGAAAGCGGTGTCACAGGAGGCCTTGTGGACACTCAGGACCTTTATCACTGTCCAGAGGTAATGAGACCAACTGGGGAGTCATACTCTCACCCGCACCCAGAGGTAAGGGGGCGCCCCCTCCCTACCCTCGGGTGTCAACAGAGGCTGAAAGGTTTGTTCTTCGTTGACTTTAGGGAAGGAAGGGCTAGTAAAAAAGTAAGAGGGACAGTTATGTGCGGTGATGAACTGATCAACTTGGCTTGGATGCATATTTTAAACTACAGCTGGGGGGGGAGGGGAGGGAGTAAGCTGGGGGGGGGGGGAATTCTCCAAGAACTGCGCATGCACAGTAAATAAGAAACCTGCAGCTGGGAGCCGAGTTCTGATCGTTTCACGGAACTAACGACGGAAACCCCAAGAACAGGCCTGCAAACCCAGCGGCACAGAAACTGCGAGCCCCAGCCCCGCGGGCGTCAGGACATCCGCCGCCTCCTCGGAGGAAGGTCTCCCCATGAGGACAAGGCCTCACCAAGCTCCCCCTCCGCTGCGCCCCGTGCCGGGGGCCCGGAATCCCTCTCCAGCTGCGCCCGCCAACCCCGCGCGCGGCACCGGCCGGGCCATGGCCACCTGGCCCCAGGAGGGGCTCCTGCCCGCCCGGCCCCGTGGCAGGTGCGGGAAGGGAAGGGAAGGTCCTGAGTCCGCAGGGAAACAGCCCCCAGGACGGTCCCCTCGCGGTGCGGCGCCCAGCACCGCTCGTGGCGCGGGGTCCTGACCGGGGAGCGGCGCGTCCCGGCGAGGTGTCGGCCGGGCGGAAGTGCGCCCGGGCCACTGACCTGTCAGGCCCCACTGCCTCAGGTCCTCCTCCTGCACCCGCGCCGCCGTCCGCGCCGCCTCTGCGCGGCTCTGGGTCTGCAGGGTCTGCAAGAAGCCGGGCTGGTCGCCCTGGCGGGTCGCGGCGTCCGCGCGCTCCTCCATCCGCCCCGAGCGTTCCGCCGCGCGTCGCCCCGCGTCGCTTCCTTCCCGACGCAACTGGGCGTCCGGCGCCGCGTTCCGGATGCGAGCGCGGTTCCGAGTGACCCTGCGGACGCCGCCGGGGCTCCCCGCGGCGGGGTGCGGGGCTCCCCGCGGCGGGGTGCACGCTCCTGAGCTCCTGGTGGTGCTCACGCGCGCTCCCGGCGACTGGCGGCCGGAAAACGCTCCCCCGGGGGGTCAGCATGTGCTGGCCCTTCACTGGCTCAGCTTGACTGCCCCCTGCCAGGCGCTCGGCTGGGCTCTGGGGCTATAGAATTCAATGAGACGTCGTCCCTGCTGCCCTCCCGCGATTCCCGGCGAGATTGTAAAGGCTGGAGTGCTGTCAGTTGACACTAATCATAAATTCCTTTCGGCCCTGAAATCTTAATTTGCTTCCTGTTGACTGTAGGCCATAGTTAGGAACCCCCCAATGGTAGTCAAGTCACCAAAGCTTGTGCTACAATGGATTTCTCAAGTGAATTATGGGGAGCAAACTGAAGCAACGTGTTGTGAGATTAGGGGTCACCAAGACTCAACATGAGCTTTGAGTGGATTTATGATGTGGTCATTTATGATTAGTCGTCTACCACCAACACAAATACTATAACAACCACGTAGCTGCATTTATTGATGCGGTTAGAGGCTCTGCCCTACGGCCTTAACATGTGTTTGTTTTCTCATTGAACCCTCATAATAACCCTATAAAAGTCCTATCATTGTCCCCACATTACAGATGAGGAGATTGTGAATGGTCATTGGCAAAGCTGGAACGGGAACCATGTTATTCTCTGGATAACGTCATTAGAATACTGTTGTTCTTACTTACATTAATCGTGATGCTTCTGTCTTCGGTAAACTCAGACTAAAGTTGCACTTCACCCCCATCCTCACCTACCCTCAAAATAGAAGGGAGAAATTCGTTGTGAGCTACAAAAGAAATGACTTTGGGTTGATTTATAAAAACTCAAACACAAAGCACTGTTTTGGGAAGCTAATTTTGTGTCTTGAGTCATTTTGTAAATACTGACTGAGCACCTACCATGTGCCAAGTGCTCTGTCAGCACTGGAGACAGAGGCCACTCGTCACAAACTTAATTTAGGCAAATCAAATTAAGCTTATATTTTAAAAAGGAGGAGACAGGCAATAAACAAATGAAACCCAAGCAGTGACCAATGTTAAGAAGAAGGAGAAACATAGTCATAGTATAGGGCTGCATTGATTTCCTACTGGGGTATTTTCTCAAAACCTTAAGATGGATTTATATCCTTTGCTGGCTTCTCTTGAGGGGCTTCTGTCCTAAGTGGCTGTTGTAAATGGATTATGAGTCCTGGTGTCTGCATTGGACTTATTTCCTCCCTTCAAGACTTGGTGGGTAGACATCTACTAAAGCACCAATACTAACCACCTGCCACTCAAACAAACGGGTGTTTATTATTGTCAACTTAACGTACGTTTGTTTTAGCATTATACTAGCGATGGGGTCCTAGCTGTAAGCTAAGTGTTCTGTTGGTATATTGAGTCTGGCATCTAATGGCTCAGTGTTTGAGCGTCGACCCATGAACGAGAGGATCACGGTTCAATTCCCAGTCAGGGCACATGCCTGGGTTGCGGGCTTGATCCCCAGTAGGGAGCGTGCAGGAGGCAGCCGGTTGATGATGCTCTCTCATCATCGATTTGTGTGTGTCTCTCTCCCTCTCCCTTCCTCTCTCTGAAATCAATAAAAACATATCTTTAAAAATAAATAAATAAAAATAAAATACAGCTAAGAGAAGTAGCTGAGACACTCCAAGTCAGTTAGTGAGATGATGCCTCTAAGAGTTTTATTTGGATGCTGTATGAAAAGAGGATATAGAAAGGGACAAGGTAAAAGCAGGGAGACCCTGTAGGAGACTACTGTGGGAGTCTGGGCAAGAGATGATAGTTGTTGGGCCAGCATGGTGGCAGTGGAGGTTTGAGTAGTGGTCAGATATTAGGTATATTGCTAAGGAAGAGCCTGTAAGATAAACTGATTGAGCATCTGAGAGAAGTAGAGAAATCAAGGGTGATTTCAGGGATGTGACCTGAGCAAATAGTAGAATAGTTTCCATTTATGGATGGGGGAAGACTGAGAATGAGGAGTTTTGAGGAACATCAAGAATTCATTTTTGGACAGAGTAGCACAAAAAAAGTTATTAGATATCCAAGTAGAAATGGTGAATAATCAAATAGATTAATTTGAAGTTCAAGGGGAAAATATATAAATATGGAAGTCATGATTATAGGATGGACCTTAAACCTTGGTACTAGATGCCACACCCTAAGGGAGGACAGGAATTATAAAAGAGACAAAGCCTTGTACACTAAACTAATAATTAGAAGTCAAGAAGATGAGGAAGAACCAGCAGAAGAGACTAAGAGCAGCTTATGTGATAACTAGAGGCCCGTTGCAGGAAGATTCCTGCAAGAATAGGGCTTCCTGCGGCTGGAGCAAAGCAGAGAAGGGAGTGAAACCCACTGAGGGCTTCGGTCCCTTCTCCACTGCCTTGCTCCTTCCCCTCTCCGCTGCCTCAGCTCCCTCCCTTCTCCGCTGCTTCGCTCCCTTCTGCAGTGCTTGGCTTCCTTCTACGCTGTCTTCAGTCTTCACTCTGCACCTGCATATGCAAATTAACTGCCATCTTTGTTGGGTTAATTTGCATACTCGTCCTGATTGGCTGGTGGGCGTAGCAGAGTGACACCAATTTGCATGTTTCTCTTTTATTAGTGTAGGTATGAGAGGCAAGAGTGTGGTGTCCCTGAAGCCAAATGATGAGGAGTTACAAAAAGAAGGGAGTGGATTGTCTGTGTCAAATGTAAAGATAAGGTAGAGATATAACCACTGGATCGGGTAATATGGTGGTCATTCATGACCTCAACAAGAACAACTTCTGTATATTGTGGAATAAAAAGCCTGATTGGAATGGATTTTTAAAAGAGAATAGGAGGAAAGAAAGTAGAGGCAGAATGTCTCACAACTCTTTCAGAGAGTTTTGCTATAAAAGGGAGCAGAATACTGGGAGCAGTAACTGAAAGGGGATCTAGAGCTAGTGGGAGGTCTGGAGGACAGATGTGACCGCTGCCAGACCTATGAGCTGGACCCAGGCCAGAACGGAGATTGCTTCACACACACACACCCCTTAGAAACTGTCTGATCATAATTGATATTCATTCTGCCCCTCCCCTGTCTCCCTCTACATGCTGGTTCCTGGTCATTGTCTTGACCAGATCAAGCACGTAATTTCCTGTATATGGTACCATTACTATCCCCCCTTTTATCTTCTATAATTCTTTGAGGCCTATCAAATGGTACAGAGACCTGTTTTGTCTTGTAGGCCACCCAAGACACACCTCATATGTAAGTTTCCCATAATAAACTCTACCATTTACGAAACTGGAGTGACCAGCCTCTTTCCTCAGTTTTTCCACACCCTCTGCTTATGGAGGTAGTTTTTACATTCTTGGGAATTTTCCCTGGGTCTGCATGTACTAACAGGAGGATTATTTTGTTTCCACATCATTGAGATTAGAGTATGTTGAATGCTCATACGAACAATCCAGTAGAGAGAAAAACTGATGCTGCTGCAGGAGTGTTGCCCATGACTCAGCAGAGGTGTGACCAGTGCACAAGTGGAGTGGTTGGCCTAGGTAGGAGCACAGACAGTCATGCACTGGAACATGTAGAGGACAGTTGTGGTGGGTGCAAGTACGTGGTAGATCTCTTCTGATTGTCTTAGTTGTCTAAGTGAAATAAGAAACAAGGTCATCAGATGAGCTCGAGGAAGGAGAAGGAGTTTTTGGAAGGTTGAGGAGGGAAAGGTGTGAAATAGCTGTCTCGGGGAGGGGGAAGAGTGAAATGATTAGAGAAATGTGGTAGCATTGCCAAGCAGCAGCAAGGGACACTGGAAGTTCATGGTCATGAGACCAGTCAGCATGGTGTGTGTTAGGTGCAGGAGGGGAACAGTTAGAGAACCGGATCTTACCAGGGTTGGATTTTTGCCAGATGAGTACAGCAGAGAGTGATTACACTGACCATATATCCGGTGTCTAGAACAGAAGTGAACGAGGCAGATAAGATCCCTGCATTTATGGAGCTTAGATTCTAGTGATGGAGACAGACAAAAAGGAAGGGGCTAAAAAAATAAGTTATCTGTATTAGTATTAGTGCTAATAAGACAATAAAACAGTGCGATAAGCTTAAGAACAGGGTGGGATGCAGCTCTTGATGAGTTGAGAAACATGTCACGAAGAAAATGACATTTGAGCTAAGATCCAAATGATAATCAGGAAGAAGAGTGTTCAAGGCAGAGACCGGAAGGGTATAGACATTGAGGCAGAGTTAGCAAGGGAGTAATAGATTTTTAAATTGGTGTGGGTACACTTGAGGGGACTTGTCACTGATTGGATATAGGGCTGAGAGAAAGAGAAATGTTGAGATTGACTAGCAGAGCCTTGGGTAACTGGGTGGATATTGATACCACCGCTGAGACAGGGAATACAGGAGATAAAAGATAATAACTTCACTTTTAGGATAGGTTGAATTTGTACCTAAACAGTGACTGGCACATAGTATGCACTCAGTAAGTATAGTTGAGTGTTTGAATGAGGTGTCTGTTGAACAGTTCTGAAATCCAGGACCTGACTGTTATAACCTCACTGTACAGAGAGGACAGTTCACGGATGGGCAAACCAAGGCACCAAAAGTTTAGGCAACTTGTCCACTTTTCCCAGTGCGCCAGTGTTAACTGCCAATAGAGCGTCCTGCCCCAACTCCTTTTCATTCTTTGTCCAGGTTATATAATCATGGCGTTCATATTAATTCTTTATTTTATAACCTCACTGAGCGGGTACACACCTGGCAACAGCAACTCAATAAGATGAACGGTAATCAAATCACGCTAACGATAGGTCTTCGTACCTGCCAATCCCACCAAAGCAAGCATGAGGAAGCACAGATTGGCGAACAAGTGTGTTTGCTATCCATTATGTC